TAAGGGGCTTGTACTTGAAAACTATATTGAGACAAGATGTTGCTTTCTTTGATGTGGAAACAAACACAGGAGAGGTTGTTGGGAGAATGTCTGGTGACACTGTTCTCATACAAGACGCCATGGGCGAGAAGGTATAATGTTACTGTGAAAACTAGACCCTGCAGGGTGAAGAACCACACTAAGTTTCATTCATCTTGTCTGTGTAATCATGGAGATGTCTGCTTGATTTTTGCAGGTTGGAAAATTTTTGCAGCTGATGTCCTTATTCATTGGAGGCTTTGTAGTAGCATTTATCAAGGGATGGCTTCTTACCCTTGTTTTGTTGTCCTCTATACCTTTTCTTGTAATAGCCGGTGCAGCGATGTCCCTCATTATAGCCAACACAGCATCCCAAGGACAAAATGCTTATGCAAAAGCAGCAACTGTTGTTGAACAGACAATTGGTTCAATTAGAACTGTAGGTCTTATAGCCAGAAATATATTCAGCATTGCTGTTATTTCTTTAAGTTCGTAAAAATATGACCCACTATTTTATCTGATACCAGGTTGCATCATTTACTGGTGAAAAGCAAGCCATAAGCGATTACAACAAGTTTCTTGTTAGTGCTTACAAGTCAGGTGTTTACCAAGGCTCTGTTTCTGGATTGGGTCTTGGCATGGTTATGTTAATCATGTTCTGCAGTTATGCTTTGGCTGTATGGTTTGGTGGGAAGATGATTCTGGAAAAAGGCTACACTGGTGGTCAAGTAGTTAGTGTGATTCTTGCTATTATGACTGGTTCCATGTGAGTTAAACATTTAATTATTTGTTGTTCCTAGTAAAATGCATTAATTTGCCAGAAGGGGAGTAATTCTCTGTATTTGCCTTCTATGATGATTCAGGTCCCTGGGGCAGGCATCTCCCTGCATAAATGCATTTGCTTCTGGTCAAGCAGCAGCATTTAAGATGTTTGAGACAATTGAAAGGAAGCCCAATATTGATGCGTATGACACAAAGGGGAAAATATTGGAGGACATTCGAGGTGATATAGACTTTAGGGATGTATGTTTCAGTTATCCAGCCAGACCAGAGGAGCAAATTTTTAGTGGGTTCTCACTTTCCATTCCAAGTGGCACAACAGCTGCTCTGGTGGGACAAAGTGGAAGTGGGAAATCAACTGTAATCAGTCTGATAGAACGATTTTATGATCCACAAGCTGGTCAAGTTCTTATTGATGGCATTAACCTCAAGGAATTTCAGCTTAACTGGATCAGAGGAAAGATTGGCCTTGTCAGCCAGGAACCTGTGTTGTTTACATCAAGCATTAGGGATAATATCGCGTATGGAAAGGAAGGCGCAACAAGTGAAGAGATAATAGCTGCAGCTGAACTCGCAAATGCTGCCAAGTACATTGACAAACTACCCCAGGTTTTAATGTCTTCTTTAAATGACTACTACTTATTTCATACCTTAATTCTTACAACTATATGAATTGTACCTTACTTATGCATTCTGAACTTTATACGTAGGGACTGGAACCATGGTTGGTGAACATGGAACTCAGCTTTCTGGTGGACAGAAGCAGAGAGTGGCAATAGCAAGAGCAATTCTAAAAGACCCACGGATTTTACTTTTAGATGAAGCGACAAGTGCGCTAGATGCAGAATCTGAGAGGACAGTGCAAGAGGCATTAGACAGAATAATGGTCAATCGAACTACTGTCATTGTTGCTCATCGTCTGAGCACAGTGAGAAATGCACAGATGATAGCAGTTGTTCATCAAGGAAAGATGGTTGAAAAAGGTATAATAAATCTTGGCCATATAACTCAACGTATTCATGTCTGGAGCAATGTAACGAGTGCATGTCACCCATTGCATAGATTGTTAATCAACTAAACTTGTCTTGTTATGCATATTGGGGCATATTCTCCAGATCTTTTTTTTTTTTTTGCCCAAAATATTTTGCAGATGATTGTGTGGGACCTAAGTATTTATCACAGATATTCTAAAATATTTTTGAAAAGCTCTGAATTTGTTCGAGTAGTTCCATCAGAATCAAATTTATTCTTTCTCGCACTTCTATCAGCATATCATACCTTGCTTTTCCAAAAGAAAAGCATTTTGAAATTTGATAACATGGTTGTCAATTGATCAGGGTCTCATTCAGAATTGCTCAAGGATCCTGATGGAGCTTACTCTCAGCTTATACGTTTACAGGAAGTAAATAAGCAGTTACAACAGGTACCAGATGACAAAAACGGATCAGACATTACTGAGAAATTGTTTAGACAGTCAAGTTTGGAAATATCATTGAAAAAATCAATCAGTACGGGATCAACTGGTTTACCTAATGGACAGAATGTGGCTGATAGTGTGCTGACAGATGCAGAAGCTCCTCCTACAATACCATCAGTACAGGCTCCAGAAGTGTCAATCTGTCGGCTTGCATCTCTCAACAAGCCAGAGATTCCCGTGCTTCTAATGGGAGCTATAGCTTCAATTGTCAATGGATTTATACTTCCAACTTATTCTCTGCTTCTCTCCGAGGTCATCAAAACCTTTTACAAACCACCTAATGAACTCAAAACAGACTCAAGATTCTGGGCTCTGATATTTATGGCCCTTGGCCTGGCATCATTATTGGCATATCCTACAGAAACATACCTCTTCTCTGTCGCTGGATGTAAATTAATCCGGCGAGTAAGATCAATGTGTTTTGAAAAAGTGGTTCACCTGGAGATTGGTTGGTTTGATGAACCTGAGCACTCAAGTGGTTCACTTGGAGCAAGGCTCTCAGCAGATGCGGCAACACTGCGTGCTCTAGTTGGAGATGCACTATCTCAGATGGTTCAAAGCATTGTATCAGCAGTTGCGGGTTTAATCATTGCTTTCGTTGCAAGTTGGCAGTTGGCTTTGATTGTCCTTGCACTTTTTCCTCTGATAGGGATCGATGGGTACATTCAAGTGAAATTCATGAAGGGATTTAGTGCAGATGCAAAGGTATGCTCAAAACTAATGACCTGCACCTAACATTAAGAACTGCAACTTGCATCACCAGACATAGTTGTAAATTCTCCATAAAATAAAAGCAGTATGTTTTCTCTTAATGTAAGTATAATTTGCTGCAGATGATGTACGAGGAAGCCAGCCAAGTTGCTAATGATGCAGTTGGGGGTATAAGAACCATTTCTTCTTTCTGTGCTGAGGAGAAAGTGATGCGCCTGTACAAAAAGAAATGCGAACGCCCCATGAAGACAGGGATAAGGCGGGGGTTGATCAGCGGAATAGGATTTGGGCTTTCATTCTTCTTAATGTATTCTGTTTATGCAGCTAGCTTCTATGCAGGAGCTCAACTTGTTGAGCATGGTCATGCTACATTCTCAGATGTATTTCAAGTATCTCTTCTATCTCTATCAAGTTATTTCTTAAATCCTTTTCAAGACTACCAAATTCTTTCAATATGTTTCGTTGATACTGAAGCTAATGTCCATTTTCCAGGTTTTCTTTGCTTTGACGATTGCTGCTGTTGCAATTACTCAGTCAAGCTCCCTTGGTTCTGATTCCAGCAAAGCAAAAACCGCTGCTGCTTCCATATTTTCAATTATTGATCGGAAGTCTAAGATAGACCCAGGTGACGAGTCAGGGGTGACATTAGAAAATGTGAAGGGAGAAATTGAGCTTTGTCATGTGAGCTTTAAGTATCCATTAAGGCCTGACATTCAAATTTTCCAAGACTTGTGCTTGGCTATTCCTGCTGGCAAGGTAATCATCAATTGCATATTTGAGCTCAATCTCTGTCAACTTTCAAGCAGTTAGCTGTTTCAAAAATTAATCCTTGGGTCTAAATCTTATGGTGTGAATCTCTTCTCGCAGACAGTTGCTCTGGTTGGGGAAAGTGGGAGTGGGAAGTCAACCGTCATCTCATTATTGCAGAGATTTTATGATCTTGATTCAGGTCATATCACTCTGGATGGAGTTGAAATACAAAAGCTCCAATTGAAGTGGTTGAGGCAGCAGATGGGTCTTGTAAGCCAAGAACCTGTTTTGTTTAATGACACGATCCGTGCGAACACTGCATATGGAAAGGGAGGAAATGCAACTGAGGCAGAAATTTTAGCTGCAGCAGAGTTGGCCAATGCCCACAGGTTCATTAGTAGCTTACAACAGGTTAGACATTCTAAAGCATTCTCCTATATCATTTTGGTACCAAAAGAAGCAATTCAGTTGGCTTCATGATGCAAAAACGGAGTTAAATTATGTAAATTACTCTTCAAAGATTACAAATAGACATAACTGATTTGCAGATGTGCTTACTAGTCTGCCTCTTTTTTCCCCCTTATGTAATACAGGGTTATGATACTGTAGTAGGGGAGAGAGGAGTTCAATTGTCAGGAGGGCAGAAACAACGAGTAGCCATTGCGCGTGCCATCATTAAGAGTCCAAAGATATTACTATTAGATGAAGCCACAAGTGCATTGGATGCGGAATCGGAGCAAGTGGTTCCGGATGCATTAGACAGAGTCATGGTGAACCGCACCACCGTTGTAGTTGCTCATCGGCTATCCACAATCAAGAACGCAGATGTTATTGCAGTAGTCAGAAATGGCGTTATTGTAGAGAAAGGAAAGCATGAAACGTTGATAAACATCAAAGATGGTTCCTATGCTTCCTTAGTGGCACTCCACCTTAGTACTTCAACCGCATGAACGACTAGAGAGTCACTTCCATCACTTTCTTATTCTTTTTGTTGTAATTAATTTGCAAATCGAATATGTCTAAATTGATTCATAGAGGGAAAGGGTATAATAGCTTTGCAATTGTAGCTAGTAGTTCTTTGTTTAAGCGGAAATCTGTTTTTGATTTTCAACTTAGTGTACATTAACTTCCTAGGTTTCAGACTACCTTGATTAAAGATGTCTTAAAGCATGTGTGGTGTGTTTAGCAGAGCAAGGCATGTGCTGTGCGTTCAATAGGCTAGAAACAAGATTAATGAACTGTATCAATAATAGTAACTCCAGAATAACAGAAATAGAAAGATTAATCATCTTCACTTTCATCACTGTATGAAACAAGACCTGTCTTAACAACATCAGGGGCCTTATCGGTATCACCATTAAATGTGTTCACTGAATTTGGAGTTTTCAATGTATCAACATTAGGTGCTTTCATTGTGTTTGGCAGTTCTTTCTCCTGGTCAATTTTCGCTTTTTTTGCTTGTGGCTTGACTTTTATGATCATACCTAGAGGGCGAGCTGCTGGATTCTTCCTCCCAACTGACTTTTGTTCCTGCCAGCAGAAACAAGAAGGGTTAACAAGCAGCTGAGAAGGCTAATAACTACTACACAATAAGGTAAAATAAAACTTGATTGGAGTCAGGCCTTCGACATTAGGGGCTTCACTGGGTGATCAATATATGACAAGAAAATTCAGGCAAAGTTGCAAAAGGTTACTAATCAACTTCAAGTCATAGAGAACAGAAAACAATGTTAACTGGATTTCAAGGAAATGAAACCTGGAAATTCATAGAAACTGATTACTCAACCATATGGCATAAAAGCTGCGTTAATTCCAAAGTAGAATTCAGGTCCAAATATAACGTTCATGAGATTAAGTACAAGCATGCTACTGGTTGACTTAAAACCAACCTGGCCAGCAGGAACAGGTGGTGCCTCTTTTAGTTCATGCACAATATTTGACTGTGCTGCCACCGCTGCCTGAAAACGAAAACAAGACACTATGGTCTGAGATGAAATATAAATCAAGTAAACAATTCAGAAAATGCTTTTACAAAAATCCGTATGGCTAACCTAAACAAGCAACATAAGTATTCACACTTCTCAAGAAGATTTTTTTGCAAGACAATAGCCACAGTTATAATCCCATATATTGTAACAGCACTCTGAAAAACTTACACTACATGACACTAGATTGTAGTTATCTGAAGAATACAAGTTATACAATTTAACATCTTAAATAAAGAGTACAATATAAATCTTGAGAATCCTTCAATCAAATATCATCATGAAATATTCAGTCTTTACTGACCTGAATGGAAAATATACAGTGTTTAGGTGAGCATATGGATTTTAAAATCTAATGGTCAAACATTAGAGATAATTGCAGGATTCTTCTGTTGAATATGATTGCTGTTTGAACTATAAAATCAACTCATCCTTAAGAATTGAATTTTAAATTGCAATCTTGTAAGTTTAAATAATTGGTAATCTGGCAGTCCTATGTGTGATCTCAGAAGAAAACTGTAAACTTCAAGACTCAAATTATCAAGGAGAAGGGACAGGTTGATCAGCTGAGTACAACAGGATTGCAGATACTTAGTTTTTAATGCTTCTTCATGGTTACATTTGTGACTCAAGACAGGCTAGAAATTACTTGGAAACTTCGCAACTGTTCAGCTTCATCATCTGCCACTTGTCGTTCATATTCCCTTCTTGACTGCATTAACAAGAAAAATATCAGAAAATTAGAAAGCATAAGATATGGAAAGTGATCAGTTATTCAGGAAGGGGCAGCAGCAAATAGAAAAAAGAAAATTATATTGTAACCCTTTAACAATTGGTGAACTAAAATTATGATTTTTCCAGCATTCAGTCGATACATCAAAATTAGAGGTCAATGCTATCAAAAGGAGAGAAAAACAATCAGCATTCATTGCCAAGGAAAAAACAAAAAAATTTATTGGCATCAACAGCTTCCATGGTATTTAATTAGTCATCATTGCCAACATCAAATCAGTCCTCACCGTCTCCAAATTATCCAGAAACTCAGTTTCGTCTTCATCCAAGGCTTTGGGTGGCCCTGCAAACGAAGAAATTGTCTAAAGTTGTTGTTCTTAGCTACATTATCAAACAATAGCAATTTGAAAAGTTAAGCACTCACTATGTTTGAACCGTTCATTAAATTCTGCATCTTTCTTGTCTTTATTCTCCTTCAAAATCTGCATTAAAAGGATTTTTAAAAACAATAAAAGAAAATACACATTTTTTGGGCTCCATTGGAAGGTGTCGAAAACAAAAACCTCGTAGAGAGGCCTATCCCTTTGGGCAGTGCCATCTTCAATTCGTTCACCTCTTGTTCTTTTTGCTTCATCTAACTGCCATAGTTACCCACCCAGACCAAAATTAAAACCGAGAAATTAGATTTTAATCATAATCAAGCAATATAAAAAATTAGGGTTTAGCATGAATGAGTGGTAAAATAAAATCACCTGTTGCTCCGAGACGAAGTTCATCAACTTTATTGAACTCGATGATTCGTCTGCCATTCCTTAACTTCGAGCTCCAACTCAACAGAAATTCAAATCACTACACCTTCTAAAATTTACTTGAATTTTATTTTATTTATTTTCCTTTCGAGGCAGTGAGTTGCTACAAATCGAAATCTGTTTTTCGCTCCCAGAGCTTCAACGATGTTTATATTTGAAACGTGGCGAAACACTATAGGCGATGGAATTGGCATCCCTGATGTAGAAACCGCATAATCGGTTTCACCTTTGGGCCTCCTGACATAATTGTTGGGCCAATTAAGCCCACAGATCTGGACCTTGGCGAAGCCTCTACCGAGCTTGCTTGCCTTCCCTACGTCGCTTGCTTTTATTATAGAAATGAAAACGAATAAAACATTATTCTAACAAATACTAAGCAAAATTATCTTTCATACACCTATACAAATAGATTTAAAGGATTATTATATGTTTATTAGACTATATATAAAAGGATTAATTAATATTAATAATTATTAAATTGACATGTAATAATTTTATAAATAGTGTTTTATTTAAAAATACGTATCGATTTTAAAAAATAAAACACAAATTGAATTGAATTTGAAATTCTTAAATATAATTTTGATATATACACCTTGAAATTGTGGATATGAAAATATAAAAAATAATTTAATGAGTAAATTATTATTCATTTTATATTATCTTGACAAATGCATAACAGACATTCTCAAATTATTTTACATGAAAAACAAAATCAATTTTCTTATTATTTCCATTGGATTTAATGATAACTTTAAAAAAGAAAATATATAATAGTACTTGATACCTTGGTCAAACAAATTAGTAGGGAGGTTGATTTAATGAACTAATAATAATTAGTGGATAGATAAAGATATTTAATTTATCAAACTAATTTTTCTAGATTTTTCCAGTTAAATATTAGAGAGACAATGGCAATTATTGAGGTAAAAAAAAAAAACAAATTGCCTTACAGTGTTGAAAGAGTTGTTTCATATTTAGGATACACGTGAAAAAGATGCGCTGCCCAATATTCCTTGGCCGTTTCTTTATACGAGAAGGACACGAAGTGCTCGCCTCGCGCCTATGTGGCAACAAAGGCTGAAGCATATTGCAGCGTGGCAGAAAAGAAAAGTTGAGCTGGCACAATCTGATCCATCGTTATTTAGACGATGTCATCGCACCGCTGATATTAAAAAGAAACGCATGTCAAAGACTCCGAAAAGTGTGGCAAACCGAAATCTTCACGAGCGCGCCACCGCCTAACGAAACCAACCGTCCACGTCAGATTTGGCTTTAAACCAACCACTCATAACCAGCCACGCATACTAGTTCCTTTCCTTCCTGGAAACTAAGACCGTTGTGGAATCGGTATTTGATGCTTCCCTCCTTATTTCTCTTGGCTGAACCGGAATTTGTAGCATCGGATTCATAGACCATGGAGACCACCGGCATCGTTTACAGGAGAGTTCCAAGGTTGGCGGGGATTAGGGTTGATTTTGGTGGTCGGTTTTCCAGGGAATTGAATCTTGGTGTTGGAGATTCCAGGGTTTCTGTTAGGCCCAGGAATTCTTTCGGGAAATTGAGTTGTCAGTTTTCTGATTCAGGGCATATCCAGTATTATGTATCGCCAAGGGCTGGTGCTGCCAAGAAGAAAGAGAAGGAAAAGAGCGGTGAGATTAAAAGAGTCAAGACGAAGTTGAAGTTTATTAAGAGATTGTCCAAAGACTTGTCTATGCTTCCTCGGATGGCTGATGGAGAGGATATTGGCATTGGATTGATGGGTGAAGTTAAGACGACGATGATTTCTGTAAGAAATTGATTTGGCGTTTCTTTATTTACTTTTTGTTATTGTTTTGATCTGGTTCATAGCCTTTTGCCTGATACACATGTTCCTAGTTGCTTTTAGCCCTTCGGTTTATAGCAAATATTGGTGCAGATAAACTATGATTCTTTCTTTTTATGGGAATTGAGAAATATATCTAGTCTTTCTATTTTCTTTTTTGGAATTAGGGTGTTTATGATATATTGGATTGAAAAACTTATGTGTGTTTTGTTCTTGCAGGAAGCAAGCGATGTTTTACTGGCACAACTGCAACAGTTGAGATCAGAACAAATAGAGTTGAAGGGAAAATTGAAAGAGGAACGAGCCCGGCTCAAAGCCACTCTGGAGAAATCAGAATCATCATCTTCCTCCTCTGAGTCAAGTGACAGCGAATGTGGGAAGGTAGTTGACATGAAAAGGCTGAGAAGCAATGTTTTGAAACCATTACAAGACATAGAAGCACCGAGTGACAGTGCTTTGAAACGAACAGAAGACATGGAAGCAGCACCGACGGCGACTGAGGAAGGAACATTAGCTAACTCAGTTATGGAACTAGGAAACAAGCATCAAGCACCAGCAGACATGGAAGCACCAATGGTAACAGAGGAAGCAACATTAGCTAGCTCACTCATGGAACTGGAAAACTCAGATTCAAGCCCCCAAATTCGGATACAAGAACCTTGCTCTGGATTTGGTAGTGAATGTTGTAGTTCAAATGGCTTCAAGGATGATATAAGTAACAGAATTGTGGAAGGAGCATCGACCAAGAAGATTGAAATTTGCATGGGTGGCAAGTGTAGGAAGCTGGGAGCTGCTGCCTTGTTAGAAGAATTTGAGAGGAAGGTTGGTGCAGAGGGCAGTGTTGTTGGGTGCAAATGCATGGGGAAGTGCAAGACCGCTCCAAATGTAAGGGTCTGTAACTCTCCGAGTGGAATTGAAGCAAGAAGCAATCAAGACTCAATCAGAATTGGGATTAACCCTACATGCACTGGTGTTGGATTGCTAGACGTGGATCTGATTGTTGCAAATCTTTTAGGCAAAGACATTGATGATGAATGCCTAATGCTCTCTCCTTGAGTCTTTGGTCATTTTGCTTTCTCCTTTTATAGGAGTCACATATTTGAGTGAAAGTGTTTGAATAGGGGATAGAGTGTCTGTGATATTGGCATAGAAGTAACGCCCCTGTTTCTAGGCTTTAGCTGATAATGTACATATAAATGTTTTATTTTTCATTTTTAAGGGAAATATTGATGCACCAAGCATCCAAAATTTTCCAAAACGTCAGTCTATCGAGATTGGTGCCAAATTTCATATTTAGCCTTCTTTCCTTCTTCTGTTAGGCACCTCAAGTTTTTCATCAGGGTCTCATACGCCATGGCTCTGCTAAATTCTAATGCTAGGTACTGCATTTTTTGGCGGTAAGCTCTTTACTGATTCACCTAGAAAGTTGGACTGGTGCAAATGAGTAAATGATGCCACAGAGCAGCTCATGCTCAAGGCAGAGAGATGAGATTGATATTTGATGGTAGCACATTCCACATCTTCACCAATGCCAACGTTTTGACCGATAATCAAAACACATTTTTACTACGCCTTAATAAAATGGTAAACCAGCTCGCTTTACGAAATCCGCATGAACTAAGGACAAACTAATTACAACCACATATCACTCAAACACTTGAGCTATGAATGAAAAATCATATTAGCTTTAGCTTTAAAGCAGGTTAACTGCTAAAAAAATGCCGGCATTCATAGATTTATTGTCATAACTACAGGGATTGAGACCACAAACTCACAATGCCCCAGACACTAGCATGTCACGCTACATTGGTTAAAGTTTCTCCCAAACGCTTTTGCAGTTCTAAGAAGTAAGAACTGTGCGGTGCTCTTTGCCAAATTTTTGGTACTTTAAACACTGTGAGAAGCCACATGCATCAGAAAAATGGCAAAACACAGATGTTATTCCATGGAAGGCTGCTCCAATCTTTATGACTACCTGCCCAACCGTAAATAGAAGTAAATTAAGATACATAATCTTCTGGATCAGAATAAGTTTCATACAAATGTAAAAGCACACTTAAAACTCAAGTACATTTCACTATTATTTGATTGAGATGGCATGCGGAGTTACTCAATTACACCTTAAAAGGCATGAAATCAACAAATGCAACCATAATTCATCAAAGACTCCTGTTTAAGGTACTACTGCATCTAGAGCATAGTATATTCCACAGACCCAGTTGTGTCCCCATCAACTGCCCCAGCTCTCCTTTGTCCCTCTCCTTTCACCTCCCATGAATTTTGGTTCCTAGAACTATCAATGGATCAGCACCAGTAGTACACTTGTGCATTCTAGAAATAACATAAAAGTTATAGTATTACTGTCTATTAATCTACTTCCATTCCTACATTAGTATTGTGATATGAACAATAACGTTGCCAAGAAATTATTCTAAATGATTTGGCAAGTTAAATTGTTTTATAAGCAAGACAATAACACCATATATGGTAGGAGTGAGGGATGAAGGCCGAAAGGGAGTGGAGGAAAAACTATATTTCTTTCCTCCCTTTCCTTCAATCGGCAGGAAGGAAATAGGGAGGTGAAAGGAAAATAGATAAATTTGCACATTTCCTTTCCCTTCAAATCTAATCTTTCAAAAGTAAAACACTCTTTCTACTTAAGTTAATCATTTTATTCAAAATTTTATCCCTAATCTCTTTATTTCCCTCTATTTTCCATCCTTCACAACAAACACAAGAAGGACAAAACAACTTTCCTTTCTTTCCTTCATCGTTTTTCCTTCACCTTTTTCTCTTCCCTCTGTTTTATTTCCTTCTAACCAAATATAGTGTAAGTTTCATCATGATGCAATTAAACTCACAATCAGAATAATTGATCCAGTATGCAACATTGAAGAAATATTGTTCTTCCCTAGCAATAAACTCAGCACAGAATTATCTTTCTACTGGAACAGAGGAATTAATAGAAGAACTACCAACTGGGTCTTAAGTTTCAAAATTATATGTTTCCATTGAAGTAAAAGGGCAACAGCAATCAGCTTAAACAAACAACTAATGCTTCTTAACAGAAAACACTGCATACAAAACTCCGACTGGCAACAAAGTCAAAAGTCATACCTCTTCATTCAATCAAAAGCATTTTGCAAGTTTTCCCATCCTCAACTAACCGATTAATAGCATCCCTAAATTTCTCATAATCCTGCAACGTATTATAAACCTGATGAGAAATTCTCGCATATCCTGTAATAAACCCGTCCTTATCCCTAACTGCCTCCTCCCCATCCTTCACAGCCTGATAAAAAATTGGAACTTCAACCTCATAACAATCCCGTAAATGCGACCTCAACCTCAAGGCATCCTCCTCACTATTAAGACACAACCTTGAAGGCAAACCAACCATAATCATCCCCGCACACATCTCTGGAGGCGACCCTAGATTTGTCCCCCAAGACTCTGCTAACATCTTTCCCATTTTCACCACTTCCTCATGGTTCCTCTTCATTATCCCCTCAATCCCTCCTTCAAACCGGTTGACAAACTCCAAAACTGCAGAAACCACCAACTGAGAACTATAATCCCTCGTCCCAATCCAGGCGCTTTCTATAGGCAATCCATTTCCATACTCATGTGAAACAACAGGGTGATGCATATCAGATGATAAATTAGATTTCTTACAATATAAAAATGCTACCGAAGGCGGGCAAAAAAACCATTTGTGTAAATTACTAACATAAAAATCAGCTCCAACTTCTTTAACATCCACTTTCACGCTCCCAATCGCATGAGCCGCATCTACAAAAACCTGCTCCACTCCTTCCGCTCTACAAATCCTAACTAATTCTTTTACAGGAATAACAACCGATGGCATTGATGTAATATGGTCGATAATAGCTAACCTTATCTTTCTACCGTTAGATTTTCCTTTCTCGATTGATTTTTTGAATTCGGAAATGATTTCTTCCTCAGAATTTACCGGGAATGGTAACCGTACCTCGGTGATGGAGCCACCGGCACGCGTGACGTACGCTTGGATTGATTTTTTAACGGCTTGGAATGCGCAGTGGAGCATTAAAACAGTGTCATTTTTCTGAAACTTTCCCTCTGCAAAACTACGGCCGATCTGTTGGAGGACGATGGCGGCTGCGGTTGTGGCGTTGTCCACGAGGGAAACCTCGTCGACGTGGTCGGCGTTGATGAGGTCCTTAATGATTTTTCGCGACGCCGTTATTCTGTTACGAAGGGTATTAAAGTAAAAATCATCAGGTTGTCGGAGGTACTGGAGCTGCCACTGGCGTTGGGCGGCAAGAACCGAACCGGGGCAGCTACCGAAACTCCCGTTGTTGATTCGAGCGACACGTGGCTGGTGGTGAGAGAACTCGTCTCGGATATAGGATTCCGATATAAACTTGGAGGAAATTTTGGGTTTTTTGGAGTTGCGGTGATTCGACTCCCCGTTTCGAGGGTCTTCGTGCTCCATGGGCTGAGATAGGGAGCGAATGGAAGAAAATGAAAGGAAATTAGGGTTTCGTGAGGAAGATGGGCATGATTTTTTGGAACTTCGACAGAGCTCACACGGTACGAACTCAGAGTTTTTAATTTAACAGGTTTTTTCTTTTTCCTTTTCGCCCCCTTTTTCTGCCTTTGTTTTTGCCTACGATCAAATGTTATCGCATACAGAGCAGTAAGTTGGACTGCGAATGAAATATGTCGTTATCGGCTACTTATATAGACGAGATAAAAGGGATCAGCGGCTTGAAACAATTTTATAAACATGGCCCTTCGATTACGAGAATATCCCTTTTAGGAATATAAAAACAGGAGTACGCATCCCCGAGGGTCGGCGCATGTTAGCTATTTTCTCACCGCACACGTTAGCAAGCCTAACATGCCTCTCTTGTCCCCTTTCTTTTCACCTTTCCTTATTGATTTCTACCGATTTTATTGTCATTTGGTTGGAAATTTTCATCTTATTCCTTCTTTTTTCTTTATTTTCGGTTTTGATTCCTGCCAAACTCTAAGTTGGTGATGGATGGGTCCAAAAAACCAATTCATAGTGGAGGAGATGATCAGAGCTCTTTAGTCAAGAGACTGTTTGAAAAAAGTGAAAAGAAAAAAGCTTGAGAGAAAAGAATATTTATTTCTAATGATGTGTTTAACAAATGAACATAAAAAATACTTATAGACTTGTTAGCTCCTTTATCTAACTTATTTACAATTTAAATTCAAACTAAATAGTTAAAAACATTCAAATTGAAATGTTTACCCTGTTTACATTTAAATTTAAAATTATTTCAATTTATCTACATTTTTCAAAAGAGTGTGCAGTCATTTTTACCACTTGGTGCAGGCCAATCAGTTGGCCTATTTAGGCTACTAACTTGCCTAGGTTACCAGCATGTTGGCTTGCTTGGTTTGTTAGTCTACTTGGGATGCTGGCCACTCAGTCCATGACACCTTCTCCCACTTACTTCAGCAATGCTTTCATTGCTAGGAAACGAGCGTCTTTGTGTTGTGCACTGCCACATTGCGTGCTATCATCTCACAAGACTTTGCCTCGAATGACCTTGCTCGGTGCACTTCTAGCCCAGGCTCTTTCGCGCTGCATGTTGCCTCAACATACTTCTACTTCGAACACCTTACCTTGCACACTATCTCGTCGCATGTTGATCCCTCAGATATCACTATTTTGACACTATTGTCCTACACACACTTCTCTCATATGGGTTATCTCTTTTGACACTTTTTGCAGACCAATCCACAATTGCCTCGACCTTTTGGTCTCACGAGTTCTAAATAGTTTCACACTGATATCGTGAGCCTCTTGGTTCGATTATGGTGGTCTTGTCGCCATTGACCTTGGTATCTCTCGAGCCCTACGACACTTTGTTGTTGCTCTTCTTGGTACAACATGATGTTATCCAATTTCAGTGTATCCCTAGACTCTTCTGGTCATAGACGGTGGCCTTCCCTGCCACAACACTGGCCCTTCCCTCAAGCTATCTAGGCTTCCTCCCTTATTGTGATTGCTTTTCAAGTCTTTCTACGCAGTAGTCACCACTTATGTTTGCCTAGATCTTATTTGTCCAACAAGATAACCACGAGCTTATTACACTTGGGTAATCCCTCATCCAATGCGGTCTCTTGCACAAGAAATATTTGGTCGACTTTCTTTCCTAACCCTTCCACTTGGCGGCTACCTTGGTCCAGTGGCATATCAACTTTTCTTCGACTTCGTCCTTTTTAACACACTATCTTTTTCTCTCCTACCGTTATCCTTATCCTCTGGTTGAGATGAATGGAACTTTATTATACCCTCGACTATCAACCATGTGAGGTGTTCCATGCTTTAAAATTAAAACTCTTGCTTCGGTCATAGCTTCAACTCATCCATAATGAAACTTGTTCATGAGTAAAAAGAAAAAAAGAAAAGATAAGATGAAAAAGGTTAAAAAGAAAAACACTAATATTTAAAAAAAATTAAAAAAAACAGTTAACTTTCACTATTTACATGGATGAATGTAAGAATTATATATTTTTCTCATGTAGCTGTTCAAAGCTTGTTGGGGCAAAAATTCCTGCATAATTCTACTATCCTAAGGGCTTTAGAAGGTTGGGAAGAGGAACTTGCTTGGACGGTTCTCTCTCTTTTCTAAAGCAAGCTTGGACAGTTTATATACTTTGTATTTAGAAAGAGCGTTATCCTACGAAGCATACTGTGAAGCAAAATCCCCAGATGTTATTTTGCAACAATTAGTGAGAGACATTAGTATTAGATTTATTACTGTATCTCTTGTACTGTCATTGATTTTTATAGAAAGTAAGGTCTGAACCAGTATGTTTAACTAGCTAGGTGCTATTTCCAGAATATCCCAGCTACTCACTAGCTAGGTGCTATGTCTGGAATCTCCTAGCTTCTCTCCTAGTAGTACAAGGTTTATACTGTTTCTTTGATGGTAGAAGTAAAAAATTTAATTAAAAAAAAAAAGAAAATCAGGGGCCCAAAAATTTGACACGTAGGACACTCAACGGCAACGTTTCGACAAGAACACGTCATAGGTCGTGCTGCCAACATCATTGAACCAATCAAAGGAATCGATCGATCCAGCAGTGCGAAAAGCGTTACCGTGGGTGGAGTGGGTGCGTCAATGGTTACTAATTACCAAGCAGAATACAGCAAAGAGACAATGGGCTCTTGTTTCTGGGGCTCGCCTCGCGTAGCCCGTGTCGGAAGCCTAACCATTACCCAACACAGACGAAGAAACGGAATTTAAAGACTTGATGATGAAAATGAAAAACGAGTCAAAGATTATTACTTCTATGATTCCAAGTCTTTGATAATTCAAATAAAAGACTCTTCCGTTCTATCTAATTTTCCTTTCACATCAGGTATGGAAATTTCCTTATTTGTCTATTCTTTTTTTATTCTTTCTCTATGTACCTTAAAACCCTAGATTTAATTCCAGTTGTTATCTTTTTTTTTCCCTTAATTTTGAATTTTAGATTGAGTTCTGGAAGAAGGGATTATATTGAAGCTTGAATCGAAGTGAAGATAGAGACCTAAGTGATCAAGTTCCTTTCTTTTTTTATCTGGGAAGGTGAGTTGTGGTGAATTTATGGGGGGTTCTTGGATCTTGATTGGCTTCTTGCATTTGATGTGGATATCTTGAATTGGGTTTCCTTCAAAATCCAATCTTGTTCATTATATTTTTATGGGGTTTTAAGGCTTTGATTGGGCTTTTGCTCTTGTGAACATTGCAATGAAGTTCTTGGCAAAAGCTTAAAACCTGCACCTTTTCTTCTCTTCCAAGAGCTGGAATTTGGTTGGCATTACTTGATATATCTCTGGTGTTTCACTGTTCTTGATATTCAATTAAGAAAAGTTTTCATTTGCAATGGCTACTCCGCCACAAGCTTCTCCTGGATACTCTAAGACTATTACTCCGCAGATTGATTCTCCTTCACCTAATCCTGATAGAAGTCCAACTGTTCCTGCCACTTCCACAATCTCGCCTGGAGCGCCTAGATTTCCTCCGCCCAATTTACGAAAAGATCAGATCCCTTCCCCTTCAATAAAAAATCCTACTGTGCTATCACCGGCAAATGGGGTCAAAACTGGAAGCCCTATTCCCCATCTGAGTACTCCACCTGGCCCTCCTGTATTTACATCACCTGTACGGCCTGCTGCTGTGCCTTTCCGGACCTCTCCCGCAACTCCTCAGCCAGTTGCTTTCTCATCAGGTTCATCTTTGCCCACATCTTCACCTCCTCACTTTTCAAATGGGTCAGTTGAGCTGCAACAGCAGCTTCCCAGTGCTATAGAGGAATCTTTGCCCAATGGAGAGTCACCATGCGTTTTATTCTCAGCTCAGAAGGTATCTTTCATTCTCTGTGGTAGGAAATGAAAAGCTAAATTATTTTTATTGGTCTATTTCTATGATTTTGATACTGAAGTCTCAAATTCCTTTTTCAGATTTTATGATGGTAGATAGTATTAAATTTTACAATATATTTAGCTTTGCAATTATATGCACTATTTCTACTTATTATTTATTTGTCCCCCTCTTCCTTCCAATTTTATATTAGGTGTTGAAACAGAAGAAACAAGCAAATGTACCTAGCTTAGGTTTTGGAGTATTAGTTTCTCCTGGGAGGGAGACTTCACCAGGTCCTCAAGTGATACAACGTGACCCTCATCGATGCCATAATTGTGGAGCTTATTCAAATCTCTATTGCAACATACTAATTGGCTCAGGCCAATGGCAGTGTGTAATCTGCCGGAATCTGAATGGAAGTGAAGGTGAATACATAACATCAAGCAAGGAGGATCTCCGTAATTTTCCAGAGCTGTCATCACCTTTGGTTGATTTCATTCAAACGGGGAATAAGAGACCAAGTTTTGTTCCGGTTACTGATTCAAGAACATCTGCACCGATTGTTCTTGTCATTGATGAATGTTTAGATGAGCCACATCTTCAGCATTTACAGAGCTCCCTGCATGCATTTGTCGATTCAGTTCTACCAACAACAAGAATTGGAATTATTTTGTACGGTCGCACAGTATCAGTCTATGACTTTTCAGAGGAATCAATAGCATCTGCTGATGTGATTCCAGGTGGCACTTCACCAACTCAAGAGAACTTGAAAGCATTGATTTATGGAACTGGCATATACTTGTCACCAATGCATGCTTCGAAAGAGGTGGCACACCAGATATTCTCTTCATTGAGGCCATACAAGTTGAATGTGCCAGAAGCATCAAGAGATAGATGCTTGGGTACTGCAGTTGAGGTTGCTTTGGCTATTATTCGAGGACCATCTGCAGATATGTCTCGAGGTGTAGTTAAAAGGCCAGGTGGTAATAGCAGAATCATTGTGTGCTCTGGTGGACCAAATACTTATGGCCCTGGATCTGTCCCTCATTCTTATACTCACCCTAATTATCCTCATAAGGAAAAGACAGCATTGAAATGGATGGAGGGTCTTGGTCATGAGGCTCATCAACATAACACGGTGGTTGACATTCTCTGTGCTGGAACTTGCCCTGTAAGAGTTCCTGTGTTGCAGCCTCTTGCGAAAGCTTCAGGGGGTGTTTTGGTTCTTCATGATGACTTTGGTGAAGCCTTTGGTGTGAACTTACAACGGGCATCTGCAAGGGCAGCTGGTTCGCATGGTTTGTTGGAGATACGCTGTTCTGATGATATTCTTGTTACTCAGGTTGTGGGTCCTGGTGAAGAGGCACAAATAGACACCCATGAAACCTTCAAAAATGATATTTCTCTCTGTATTCAATTGCTGAGTGTCGAAGAAACACAATGCTTCTCCATATCGATGGAGAATAAACATGACATCAAGAGTGATTATGTATATTTCCAGTTTGCTATTCAATACTCAAATGTTTATCAAGCTGACATAGCTAGAGTGATTACTATCAGATTGCCAACTGTGGATAGTGTTTCAGCCTATCTTCAAAGTGTTCAAGATGAGGTGGTTGCAGTCCTAGTTGCCAAGAGGACTCTCTTGCGAGCAAAAAATTATTCTGATGCAATTGACATGCGAACAACAATCGATGAAAGAGTTAAAGACATTGCATTTAAATTTGGATCTCAAGTGCCAAAGTCAAAGCTTTATCGGTTCCCAAAGGAAATCTCTTTACTACCAGAGCTTCTATTCCATCTTAGAAGGGGCCCACTGTTGGGAAGTATAGTTGGTCATGAGGATGAGAGGTCTGTACTGCGGAATTTGTTTTTGAATGCATCTTTTGATCTTTCAGTTCGCATGGTTGCCCCTCGTTGTTTGATGCACCGAGAAGGAGGTACTTTTGAAGAATTGCCAGCTTATGATCTTGCCATGCAGTCTGATACAGCTGTTGTTCTAGACCATGGTACAGATGTCTTCATCTGGTTGGTATGTAAATAACCCATCTTTTAGCTTTGCAATGTTCTATATCTGCTATATTTGCTTTTTGCCTATTTTTGTTTCTATGTTATTCATCTTTGAGCAATGGAGTCTGGCATGCATGTGTGTGCTATGTGGGGTCCATTTTTTGCCTTGTGATTGAACAGGAGATCCAAGGCAAGTTGCAAGCGAAGAGCTTAGCACATTTGTTCCTAGATATATGCAACACACACACACACACACACACGCACACGCACGCACACACACCCTGTGATAATCTGACCCTGGATGTATGCATTTTCTTTCGCAATGTTCTTCCGCCTGTATGTATTTGCATGGTATGTTTGTGTTCTGAGAGAAAGGGTGGTGGATTACTGTGTTTAAATTTGTATTTATAAGCCACGTGTATTTATGAATTTAGTTTTATGGGAATAAAACTGTGTTCCTGTCGACTGCTGGCTTCAGGGTGCTGAACTTGCAGCTGATGAAGGAAGAAGTGCAGCAGCTTTGGCAGCTTGTAGAACATTGGCAGAAGAGCTCTCAGAGTTACGATTTCCAGCTCCACGGATCCTTGCGTTCAAGGTTCTTTTTCCCTTGAATGGTCCCCACATTCTATTAATTGTGCGTTGTTGTGTTTTTATTTTGTTAGCCATCAGACAGAAGAACCTAATGATTTGGTTTTATTGCAGGAGGGGAGCTCTCAGGCTCGTTATTTTGTTTCTCGGTTAATACCAGCACACAAGGATCCTCCTTACGAGCAGGTAAGGAAAATGCAATGGGAATCCTCTTAGCTTTTAGCCCTAATAGGTCTATTTGTTTCTGTGTGTATTTACTGGAAAATTAAGGACTACATATTTTGAAAAGTTAAAGTAATAAGTAACGTATTGGGTGACACTAAATGCAGGAGGCAAGATTTCCGCAGCTTCGAACCCTGACAACAGAACAGCGGACAAAACTGAAAAGCAGTTTTATTCATTTTGATGATCCCAGCTTCTGTGAATGGATTCGGAGCTTGAAAGTAGTGCCACCAGAACCAAGCTGAGAGATTTTTTTAAAGTTTTTTGCAGTTAATATTCCTCCAAAAGGAAGCACCGGGGAGTTGCATCCAACCATCATTTATTGGAATCTTTCTACTCTTCTTTTTCTTCTTCTCCCTCTAAAGGGAATGTAACTCCGTTCATCTTTTCTCTTTATTATTATTTTTTTCTTGTCTAGCCCTTACTTTACAAAAATCCCCCTTCCCTCTTTTGAACTACAAAGAAACAGTTATACTTGATAGTAACTCCCCTCCCAAAATTAACATTGTTGTCTCATTCTTTAGTTGAAAATGCTTTGCTAGAGCAATAGTTTTAATTTAACTTTGTATCATTCCTGTATAAGTTATGCCCTTTTATAAACCTCTTCCAATTGGTATCCCTACTATCACTGCAACATATCTAGTTCTGGGCAAAGTCTAATACAAGGAAGTCAAGACTCAGTTTTTGCTCTGGCTTTGTGCACCATTGAGCCAACAGATAACAGATATTGCATTCGGTGCAGTCAAATTTGGTTTGATTGAGAAGAACTGATGAAAAGATTGACTGTCAAGTAAAATTTTGTGTCGGTGGCCAAGTTAATATGCAGATAATGCAATGGGAAGCAATGGAAGTTTCCTTGAAAAGAGTTAAATGTAAATCTCTCCATCAACTCTAGCTATGATGATAGAAAAATTAAGTGGGTACACAAAATTATTGAAACCAAACAATTTATTTTTATTTAATTAGCATTTTGACCACCATCCCACCGCTCCTAAAGAATCAGGTTTAGGATCGAACGGACCCGTAATGGGCGGCTGTGTTGTGGGTTACTCAGCTGGTCTGACTCGGAGTCACGACGAGTATTTGGTATTTACCAACTAAACGGGTCCCTCGTATCCCAAGGAATAAATTATTAAAAAACGAATATTGTTTCTTGTTCAAATCCAGGGTTTTACACACTCTATCAGCACCTTTCTCCCTCTCGCCCCAGCCGATCTTCTTTTTTCATTTCTTTTTCTTTTCTTCACTGTGTCGGGGGAAGAAGCCAACGCAACCAAAGAATCCAAACCATTCTCGGTAAGCCTTCAGTTCTTCCCCTGACTTCCATTTTTATTTACTTTCCCAGTTTTTCATTTCTATTTTTTGTTTTCTTACTTGGAAAATTTTATCTGCTCTTCTAATTCTAATTCTAAAATCTGATATAGTAAGCATTTCTAGTTTGTGGGCGATTTAGGGTTACCCATCTGAATTTTGATGAGAATGCAGGCATCCTGCTTATGTTTATGTTGTTTTGTTAGAAAGTCAAAGAGACTTCGGACAATCCAGGAAAAATTACTTTTAAATCGGCAGGTGGTAATATCTTCTTGTCTTGATCTGAAAGTTAGCCAACGCGGTTAAAGGATAATTGCTTGTTCACTAACAAGATACTTGTTCTGCAAGGATTTTATAGCATGTTCGGGACCCAGCATAAATAGGCTTAAACGGATTTTAAACTCATTAAGTTAAGAAAAAAGACTATAGTTATATGTGCAATTAGTAGGGCAATGGCTCTCTTTTCCCTTATTCGGGCTAGTAGTGTTCAAACTGATTGAGATGCACTGTTTCTAATTGTTCTAATTTAAGTTTTATTTTAATTGTACTTGAAGTTGATGATATGGCTGGACGGGAGCAGAAAAAGTCTGGCGGTGGTAAGTATTGTTTTGCTCAGATTTGTTAGATTTCATTGTTAATGCATGCATAAAAGTATGGCTGTTTCTAATTTTGCAAATGACGTGTTGTTCATATTTTAGGAGGGAAAAAGAAGGAAGTGAAGAAGGAGACTGGTTTGGGTCTCTCCTTCACTAAGGATGAGAATTTCGGGGAATGGTACTCCGAGGTATATTTTGTTGCAATGGTTTAATTGATTTGTGATTGTTATACTCATTTAGCGAGATCTTAGTATCTTATGATTATCAGAATTTTTTGGCTTTTGTAGGTTGTTGTCAATGGTGAAATGATTGAGTACTATGACATTTCTGGCTGTTATATTCTGAGGCCATGGGCAATTTCAATTTGGGAGAACATGCAAGTAAGTCATATTATATTTATGTTCATTGCAGCTTAATTAGTAAATAACAAATTTTAATTAATTACAAGGGAAAAAGGGCCACGGATGCCATTCCTTGATCTTTTTTTTTTCTTCCCCTTTACTTTCATCGTTAACTTATCCATGATGTTAAATTGCAGACATTCTTTGATGCGGAAATCAAGAAAATGAAAGTCAAGAACTGCTATTTCCCTCTCTTTGTATCTCCAGGTGTTTTGCAAAAGGAGAAGGATCACATTGAGGGTTTTGCTCCAGAGGTGAGAACTAAGTTTTTCAGGCACAATTGGCCTTGCGGAATGTGCTTCAGCTTGAAATTGTTAATTTCTGTTTTTGTTAAATTTTTTGAAGCCATTTGAAACTCTTTTTGTCCCTAAAATTTTCTGCCCTGTTTTTTAATGATTTACTTCATTTTGTGGAAATCCATACTATAGTTTTTATCTTGGAATTAGATTTTATCTAGCGCTCAAATTGGAGTTAGTTTTTATCTCGGCCTCAAAATTGGAGTAAGTTCTTCCTGATTTGAGCAAGATACTTTCATTAATATGCTGAAAAAATGGCAATATTTCAATGTTTATAGACTTCTTGGCACTGGACTGAAGAAACACTTATCTTTATAATTTATGCATTTTTTACTGGGAATGTTTTGTGATTTAATGGAAAAATGACCAGTGAATGGCTTTGGGATCCTGGTTTAATCAGGTTGCTTGGGTGACCAAATCTGGGGAGTCTGACTTGGAGGTGCCAATAGCAATCCGCCCAACTAGTGAGACAGTTATGTATCCCTACTATTCTAAGTGGATAAGAGGCCACCGTGACTTGCCTTTGAAACTTAACCAGTGGTGCAATGTCGTTCGATGGGAATTTAGCCATCCCACACCATTTATCAGGTAATTTGTCTTAAACTTGGTCAACTTTCACTTTCCAGTGTCCTTTTCCCCCCTTTCATTCCACCCAGTGGATGGGATACGTATGCCATACATTTAATGAGATGTTAATTTCCTGATAATTTTCTAATCTTGGACCAATTTTGTTAGCCTTATTTATTAATGTTCATAGATGTGCAAAATGTTTTCTCAATTCTTTTGATGTCAATTTAAAATATTGTTTTAAAATGATTTGATGGTAGATTGGTCACTACTAACTTGCTTATTGACTGTAGGAGTCGCGAGTTTCTCTGGCAGGAAGGGCATACTGCCTTTGCAACAAAGGAAGAGGCAGACACAGAGGTACCATAGACTTAAAATTTTTATTTCTGACCAATATCACTGCCTTGGAGAGGTGAAATGTGTCCATTTTACTATTGGTGTATGATGGAATAGGGTTTACTGAAATTTTGCGTAGCTGTTCCTTTTCTCTTCTTCCATATTTATAAGCAATTGATTTTAGTTTAAGTTGGCTGTTAGAATTGCTGAATTTAGCATTGAAGTAAATGTTTCAGAAATTTCACAGGTGATCTTATTTTGAATAATGTCAAAATTTTGTTGGTCTCTGCACTGTGTCAAAAATCAAATAGCCATGATTCATTGTCCTTCCAAATGTCACTCATGTTACCTTTTGCAGTACCATTGAAAAATGTGCCAGATCCTTAGAACCTTTTACTTGTGTTTCTAAATATGGATTTGTTGGTGAAAATATTATTAAAGGATGAGTGAGGTTCCAAAAATAACATACTGGGTAATGTGTACTTTGAATTACTTTGTGCGTGGTGAAATTTGGACTTTAGCTCCAACATCTAGTCCCTCATGCAATATTGTTCTGAAATATTTTACTTCTCATCAGCACATTATTTGTCATATCTTATGCTCTTAACTAACCAGGCCAAAAGGGGAATTAGTAACTAATAACAATGGTAGAGATGTCACCTGCTTTTTACATATATCTAAATTTCATTATATTTCAGGTTCTTCAAATATTGGAACTGTACCGACGTATATATGAAGAATTCTTGGCTATTCCTGTTATAAAAGGCAGAAAGAGTGAATTGGAGAAGTTTGCTGGTGGACTTTACACAACTAGTGTTGAGGTATAGTATAAACTTTCATTCCTTTATGCATGTAATAATGATCTTTACTCTTTGTCATGATCAAGGAACTCAAATTGTCTGCTTGAGCCATGTGCTTTAATCTAAATTAAGTACCTTTTAATCTGTTCATAATTTGATAGGCATTTATTCCAAATACCGGGCGTGGTATTCAAGGTGCAACCTCCCATTGTTTGGGTCAAAATTTTGCAAAAATGTTTGAGATAAACTTTGAAAATGAAAAGGGTGAGAAGGCTATGGTCTGGCAGAATTCCTGGGCATATAGTACTCGAACGGTAAAACTCTTCATCTCTTTACTTAGAACGATATTGGCGTTTATTATTTCAAGTCCTTTGTCATGTCATCCCTGTTATCCCTGTTATTTTGAATGATTACATGAGCTTGCAAGTCAAATGAATCATGAACTACTCGTATAATTCCCGTGCTATCTCATGCTCCTTATACCTGCTATTCTGCTTATGTTTTCTACTGTTTTTGAATTTTTCATAGATTGGGGTAATGGTGATGGTTCATGGGGATGACAAAGGCTTGGTGCTGCCTCCAAAAGTAGCAGCTGTGCAAGTTATTGTGATTCCTGTGCCTTACAAGGATGCAGATACTCAAGGGATTTTTGATGCCTGTGCTGCCACTGTGGCAAGCCTGTCAGAAGCTGGTATTTCTGCTGAAGCTGATCTTAGAGATAACTACTCACCTGGTTGGAAGTACTCAGACTGGGAGATGAAAGGTGTTCCCCTAAGGATTGAAATAGGGCCTAGAGACTTGGCAAATAATCAGGTGAACCCCCATCCCTTTCTTTGAATGCTTCTTTCCTTCTATTCTTTGATTTACTATTTTCCTATTGTATCTATACAGTTGAAACTGGAAAAGTGCTTTATTTGACAGGTGCGTGCAGTTCGCCGTGACAATGGAGCAAAAACTGATATCTCTAGAGTATTTTTGGTCGAACAAGTAAAAGGAATGTTGGATAAGATTCAACAGAACCTGTTTGATGTTGCGAAACAAAAACGAGATGCCTGCGTTGAAGTTGTAAAAACTTGGGACGAGTTTGTAACAGCTCTTGGTCAGAAGAAAATGATCTTAGCTCCTTGGTGTGATGAGGAGGTATGCTTTGAATTGGCAGAATCCATACTTTTTAGAGGCTTTATTATTTAGTATTTAATCAGTGTTATTTTACTGCTTTCTTTTTACCCTTTATCTCTGCATTGCATCAATCATTAACCTGAAGTGTTTTAAAAAGTCATTAATTTCCAAGACTCCCTGCCTGGTGCATCTGTTGGTCAGAATGGATCTAGCGCATTTTCTTAAAAGACTTTTTGTGTTTTGTATTTCCGTAGGATGTGGAGAAAGATGTGAAAGCACGAACAAAGGGTGAGATGGGAGCAGCTAAGTCTCTTTGTACCCCATTTGAGCAGCCTGAACTCCCAGAAGGTACCTGACTACATCTACGCAGGGATCACATTTTAAACAATAGGATGCTTTTCCTCTCTCATAATGCAAGGGTTATTCTATTTTATGGTAAACTGGTGTGCATCTGCATGCAGTGATCAGGAACTGACAAGAATCTTAATTTGTGAAAAAACTGGGAAAAGTTATTGGAAATTTAGAGAAATCATACTTTATAGGGAGGAATAGGAGATAATATCAACCAATTGTTCAATTAAGTTGAAGGATTAAGTAAAAGTCAGGGCAGCCAGTGAGCCTGGTTTAGGTGAGGATGTGATTGCATGTCTCATGTGAATAGGGATTAAAGCTTCCTAGTTCCTATTGTCATTAACATGCAGTCTTTTCTGACAGTATGAATTTTGTAAAGCTTGCACTAGTATGGATGAGAATCATGTGTAGATGCAATTTGATTATCTGTAACTTTACATCTATCAAAAAAGTAAAGAATGGGGGACAAAAAGAGAGCAGATTGTATGACTTCTGCGGAATTCTTTACTCATCTGAAAAATTAATGCAGGTACTAAATGCTTTGCTTCTGGGAAGCCTGCAAAGAAGTGGACCTATTGGGGCAGAAGTTACTAAGATCATTTTCTTTTACGACCATCTCCTTCCCATGGTCCTGTGGCTGATGTCAGCAGTGCTGGTGTGTCTGGACCATTCAAAACATGGAAATTTTCAATTTAAAATTGTTATAGAAAACTAATGAGAAGTCTCAGTTTTGTTATCATATTGTTAGAACTTCTGGGATTTTTGTTTTTGGCAAGGTTGTTTTGTTGAATTGTAGCTTTGCTGCCATTGATCTACTGCTTTATCCTGTGTTATTACAAACTGTTAGAATATGATTATGATTACTTGAAAGTCTTGATATTTAATCTTTTGCTTTGGCATTATTTACTAATGCTGCTACATAGTGGATTGTTCTTTAATTACGGTGTTGAAAGAGAATTCCACATAATCAGTTTGCAAGTACAAATGTATAACTGGAAGCATACATGAGGGTGGCAGAGTCAGATGCCATGCCCCACTGGCCTGCATTTGTGCTGTTGAGGTGCTTGAAGCAAATGTAACATGAATCATTGTATTATTGTAAACATCTTTGACCTTTTGGAGTAAGAAATTTGGATCGAAATACCATGAGACAGGGTATAAGTTGGAACCTCTCTTGCTTGCTTCATTTTAATGGCACCGGTGGCAACTCATTTTCGTACAGTTGAGAGGAAAGGAAAGAAGGAATTCCATTAAACTAAAAAAAAAAAAAAAATCTTTTGACAGTTATTCTTCTTCCAACAAGATGGGAGAAAAGAAAGAACCTTTAACTAAACTGCTTGCAACTCGATGTGGTTGTGTTAAAAGGGGAAGGGGCTTGACTGTTTGATTGATTGATGGTGGTACGCAACGCCACATGTTAACCATAAGTTTCAATGACTAGATTCCCCCATGATGCACCTTATCCCCGCAACCTCTCACTGTCTTCCTTCTCATCTTCTCTCAACAATTAAAGAAAAAGCAAAACAGAGCATGAAAACAGAGCACCCTTCCTCGCCACCTTCTCTAACCTCTCTAGTTCCTCTTCCTTCACACCGTCTTCGCTTCTCATAACTAAATAATCGCAAATCCACCCATTTCCCAGTAGTCGAATCTCTCCTCAATAATGGCAACACCCTTCTTCGACTCCACTCTGGTAAACCACCACTCTCCCTCTGTTTCACCATTTGCTTCCAAATTTATCTTTAACTACAGAAACAAAAACTACCCTCCAATTCTCCATGCGGGTTCCTCGTTCTTTACTGGGAAGCCCCTTAGAGTGGTGGAAATTGGAGCGGGAACACCCAGATTGGGAAGTAGGAGGAGGCGGAGGATGGGTGTTAGGGCTTCATTGGGAGGTCTTTTGGGTGGGATTTTCAAAGGTAATGATACTGGAGAGTCCACCAGGCAGCAATACGCAGGGACTGTGACGGCTATTAACGGATTGGAATCGGAGATGGCTGGGTTAACTGATGCAGAGCTGAGGGAAAAGACTTTTGCTTTGAAGGAACGTGCCTCTCAAGGCGAATCTTTGGACTCTCTTTTGCCAGTAAGTTTGAATCATTTTTAAGAAATAAATGTTTTTGAATGGGAAATGGTGGATTACAATTTCACTAGTATTTTAGTATTCTATAGTTAGATAACGTACAACGTTCAAAGCAAAAGTTTAAAAAATTTTCTTCTAATTTTCAGTCTCATTTCGTCACTTTGTCTTGGTTTTTTTGGTATGATACACTTTGGTTTATAATTAAATAAGTAATTTTGGTGCAGGAGGCATTTGCTGTCGTAAGAGAGGCATCCAAGAGGGTCCTTGGCCTCCACCCCTTTGATGTCCAACTGATAGGTAAAGTCTTATGTTCATATCTAACACCTGGTCAGAATCCATATATACTAATTTGACTCCATCTGACCTTCTAAACGGCAATGTCCAGTCCTTCTAAACGTGTTCAATTTGATGCTTGTTGCTGATTGCTATTTTGATTTCTGTACCAAAAGTTTTAGGTGCCAAGTAACTGTGGCAATAATATATCTGCTAATTGAAAACGTTATTGGGACATTGGGACTACTTCTACACAAATCCAATGTAAAGTGCTTGCTTCCACCCACATTTAGTTTGAAGCATAACTTGTTACTATCAATTATGTTTGAATTGCAGGTGGAGATAAGTGCCCACTTCATGTGTGAATTGCAATCTTGATTTTTAACTTATTTGGTCATGTAGGTGGCATGGTTCTTCATAAGGGAGAAATAGCTGAAATGAGGACTGGAGAAGGAAAGACCCTTGTTGCTGTCTTACCAGCTTATTTGAATGCATTAAGTGGGAAAGGAGTTCATGTGGTTACCGTCAATGATTATCTGGCCAGACGAGATTGTGAGTGGGTTGGTCAAGTTCCTCGCTTTCTTGGGTTGAAGGTTGGCCTAATACAACGTAGGTCTCATTCTTTTGCATGTATTATACTCTATGCCCCCCGCCCTTTTGCTTCCCTTTTCTTTTTTTTTCTGATCTTCACTTCATCTTTTACTGAAGGCAGTCAATCAGACCTCAGCAGATTTGAGCTGCATGTTGATTTGTAAATTTAATGATCATTGTAGTATAACAATTAACTATTTTTTTTTCTTTTGGCAGAGAATATGACTAGTGAACAGAGAAGGGAAAATTACTTGTGTGACATCACTTATGTCACCAATAGTGAGCTAGGTTTTGATTACTTGAGAGATAATCTTGCCACGGAAAGTAATTCTTGTCTTGCCTTATATGCTATTTTTATTTTTGTTTTTACTAGTGGTTGCTTCAATTCAATCAAGATATTACTTAATAGCATTTCGACTTTCTGAGTGGACTTTTTGCTATATGCAGAGTGTTGAGGAGCTTGTTTTGAGGGATTTCAATTATTGTATCATAGATGAGGTCGATTCCATTCTTATTGATGAAGCAAGAACGCCTCTTATCATATCTGGGACTGCCGAAAAACCTAGTGATCAGTATTATAAAGCAGCAAAAATAGCTGCTGCCTTTGAACGAGATATACATTATACTGTAAGGCTGCTAGCCTGTATTATTTTTCTTTAGGCTGCTAGCCTGTATTATTTTTCTTTAGGCAGCTAGCCTGTATTATTTTTCTTTTTCTCATAAAACTAGTACAATCTAATTACTAGGACTGTTTTTCTTCGATCAAACCAATCCTCTTATTACTGTTATTGTTACATCGGCAAAAATTATTATAATACTTAGAATATTGAAGTTGGAGTCTCGTTATATGGTTCTTGTAAATTTATTGGTGTAAGGGTGATTCTTAATCGTTTGTTTTGGTCAATATAAGCATGATTTCAAGTTGGCGTTGTGCTGATTGAGAATCACTGCCAACATAGATCCAAGGACATGAAAGAAATTAGAAAGTGGGATTTGAAAGGGAAAAAAATTAAAGTCCCCTTTTAGTAACAAGGTTGTTTTTGCAGGTAGATGAGAAGCAGAAAACTGTTCTTCTTACAGAACAGGGTTATGAAGATGCTGAAGAAATTCTGGATGTGAAAGATTTGTATGATCCACGGGAACAATGGGCATCGTTTGTTTTGAATGCTATTAAAGCAAAGGAATTGTTTCTTAGAGATGTAAATTATATTATCCGTGGCAAGGAGGTGCTTATTGTAGATGAATTTACTGGTCGAGTTATGCAGGTAAATCTATTTCTCTGGCTTGCTTACTGAATCAAGAAAATGTAGCTAGCAGTTACTTTTAATATCAGTTGCATGAAAATAAAAAATTTAGGGAAACAATTCAAATTTATCTATAAATTAGGACATTGAATTGTATATATAATGTTGTTGTCTTTCCATCAGGGGAGGCGATGGAGTGATGGACTTCATCAAGCAGTTGAAGCAAAAGAGGGTTTACCTATTCAAAATGAAACTATAACTCTGGCCTCAATCAGTTACCAGAACTTTTTTCTCCAGGTTGGAGAATTTGTTCTCTCAGACAATTTAGTGGAACTCTTTTGGAATTTATGTTCATTCGACTTCCTAATGCTTATGCATTTGCTCAATAGTTTCCAAAACTTTGTGGAATGACTGGCACTGCAGCAACTGAAAGCACAGAATTTGAGAGCATATACAAGCTTAAAGTAGCAATTGTCCCCACAAACAAACCCATGATAAGAAAGGTGCCTTCTAGTTTGCCATCCATGGTGTATATCTTTTTGAATTGTACTTCAGGTCCCTATATGAAAGAAAGGATTTTGAAAGAAAAAGGGGAAAAAACCTTAAATGTAATTTTTCCAGTTTGATCTGAATCTCAAAAGTCTGTAGTTTCATCCTAATCCCGTTGCACTTTAATGTCTTTCTCAGGATGAGTCTGATGTAGTTTTCAGGGCAACTAATGGAAAATGGCAGGCCGTTGTTGTAGAAATTTCTAGAATGAATAAGACAGGTCGTCCCGTACTTGTTGGCACAACAAGTGTTGAGCAAAGTGACTCCTTGTCAGAGCAATTGCAAGAAGCAGGAATTTCCCACGAGGTAAGGCCTTTTTTGAGTTGTCAATAAGGCTATTAAATTTGGGAGACTGCAGATTACTTAAACATTAAAAACAAAGACTTGTCTCTGAAATGAAGGGCGTTATTGAAGTCTTTTTCAACAGAGCTGTTTAACTTCGTCTCAAGCTTTGAGGAAAAGAATGTCAAACATAACCTAGCCACCATATTTAATGGATTCTGGGTGAGAGATTAATAGCTTTATTTGTAAAGGTTCTCAATGCGAAACCAGAGAATGTGGAAAGAGAAGCAGAGATTGTAGCACAGAGCGGTCGTCTAGGGGCAGTGACTATTGCTACCAATATGGCTGGTCGTGGAACAGACATAATCCTTGGTGGCAATGCAGAATTTATGGCCAGGCTGAAGCTACGTGAGATGCTAATGCCAAGGTTCTATCTGATATTCATTAAATTCGTTTTTCTTGTGATGGTTTCTAGGTTATTGCTGTGTGGCTCAGCCTCATAATGGCTACTTGCATCTTGGAAACCGGATTACATTGTCTCTAAAAGTGCATATATGTTGCAGAGTTGTTAAGCCAGCTGAGGGAGTCTTTGTCTCAGTGAAGAAACCTCCTCCAATGAAGACATGGAAGGTTTCATTTGTATTGCTATATGAAACTAACTTTGATTTTGGTAGATAAATTTAATTCATATTAAAATTGCTGCATTCTTGACTTCTAGCTTTCTTTGGATAGCTGGTGTTAATTATTACTTCATATTCCAGGTGAATGAGAAGTTATTCCCTTGCAAGCTATCCAGCAAGAATTCCAAGTTAGCCGAGGAAGCTGTAGAGTTGGCCGTCAAAACCTGGGGCAAGAAATCTTTAAGTGAGCTGGAAGCTGAGGAGCGCCTGTCTTATTCTTGTGAAAAGGTGTACTACGAATGAAAGAGATTTTTCTGCATATGTTATATGATTTGTTCACTTTTAAACCTCTTGTTACCTGTTAAGAATTATTGAGTCTATTAATATACTACCAAATAGTAGTCATTTTACTTTTATATATACAGGGCCCTGCTGAGGATGAAGTTATTGCCAAGCTGCGAAGTGCGTTTTTAGAAATTGTAAAGGAATATAAGGTCTACACTGAGGAAGAGAGGAAGCAGGTTGACTTTTCCCCACTGAATAAACTTATAATTGTTTTTATCTCTTAGTGTTACTGGTAATTTCCTAATTTCTATGTCACTGCAGGTTGTGGCAGCTGGGGGCCTTCATGTGGTGGGGACAGAACGTCATGAGTCACGACGAATAGACAATCAGGTTAATTTGAAATACATTTATAAAATTTAATTTGGCAATTTGATTGCTGCATTGTCCGTTTGACTCAAAGGGCTTTTCCCGGTTCTTTATTTTTGTTGTTTCAAAATGAGAGGGAAAAAATAAAAAAGGAAAACATTTCTGCTTTCTTGTTATGTTCAGTTTGCATAAAATAAGCTTCCGTAGTGTATTTTCAAATGTAAATTGCATTTGTCCATGCAGCTGCGTGGCCGAACTGGCAGGCAAGGGGATCCTGGAAGTTCTCGCTTTTTTCTTAGTCTAGAGGATAACATCTTTCGTATTTTTGGGGGAGACAGAATTCAGGTTTACCCTCTGTTGCAGTTTTCTAGTTTTTGTTCACGATTTGATATGCTTGTTAAACTTTTTGATGTCAACACTTGAAGGGCTTGATGAGAGCTTTCAGAGTTGAAGACCTACCAATTGAATCCAAGATGTTGACTAAAGCACTTGATGAAGCTCAGCGGAAAGTGGAAAACTACTTTTTTGATATTCGTAAACAATTGTTTGAGTATGATGAGGTCTTGAACAGTCAAAGGGACCGTGTCTATACAGAGAGAAGACGGGCCCTCATGTCCGACAATCTTCAATCTCTTATTATTGAATATGCTGAATTGACAATGGATGACATCTTAGAGGTGAACTATTTGTGAATTGGGCTAAATCTCTCTCTCTCATGTCTATCTAGGTTCTAATCAGGTCTCAAGGAATTTATTCATTTTATTCTTATGACTAATAGGCGAATATTGGTTCGGATGCTCCAAAGGAAAGCTGGGATCTTGAAAAGCTCATTGCAAAACTTCAACAGTAAGAGTCTCCTTTTGTTCTCTGCTTGATACTAAAAAAGATCCAAATGCACAAGCAGCTAGTGACAGGAATTCTGTCTAATTACTTGGAGCAATGTGCACTTATAATCCGGTCTACTAATTGCAACTATTATTCTAGCCTGCATCCTTTTCATGGTTTCAAAACAAAGATTTACACTTCTGCACTTAAAAGTAAAAATTGCCTGAAGGCCGTAGGATATCGTTCATCATGATAATATTCTGGATCTTTTCGTGTTTTATGTGGAAACATTATAATTTTTCTGGCAAACATACTGCCACAACTTTAGGTATTGCTACCTGTTGAATGATCTGACCCCGGATGTATTGAGAAGCCAGTGTTCAAGTTATGAGGAATTACAGGATTACCTTCGTCTTCGTGGTCGTGAAGCATATTTGCAGAAAAGGGTCAGTATATTAATCTTTTGCAGATATCAAGTTTCTGCTGAATTGTTGTGCATCGTGAACATGTGTAACCCTAGATGGAATTTGTATATTAGCACATCTAAGCTTCCAAGTATCAACATCTTTGCTTGGTTTGTGGATAATTAGGAGTCTTGAATGCTTAAACTGTTTTTTCTTGGGTGCCTACACAAGATTCAAGCATATATTATTCTGTATTTTGCTATTTCATGGTAGTGATTTCCCAAAAATTTTGGATTTAGGATTTCGTGGAGAAGCAAGCAGAAGGGTTGATGAAGGAAGCTGAAAGATTCTTAATTTTGAGCAATATCGATCGCCTGTGGAAAGAACATTTGCAAGCTCTCAAGTTTGTACAACAAGCCGTAGGCTTACGTGGATATGCTCAGCGTGATCCACTGATCGAGTATAAGCTTGAAGGCTATAATCTCTTCTTGGATATGATGGCACAGATAAGACGAAATGTAATATATTCAATATATCAGGTATGAAACGGAAACCTGGACCCAAAAATTATGGAAGCTCTACTTTTTCCATACATGGCACGTCATGTTAACTAGTTCTTTGTTCACAATTTGTCAGTTCCAACCAGTGATGGTAAAGAAGGATCAGGAGAAGTCGGATAAAGTTGTTACAAATGGTAGTAGTAGTCAGAGACCTGAACGAGTTGGTGCAGTTGAGTCATCTTCGTCAGCTGCGAGCCCCCAAGCCAGCGCCTAATGCTCGTTATCTAAGTACAAATCTTTGGATCATTCAAGGGGCATAGTGATAAATTAGAAGGATCCTTTTGTTCTAGTATATGATTGTGTCAAGGCTGCATAGATCTCAGTTGAAAAACGAAAAAGTATGTCCTGTTTATTGTACCATAGAGAACCACACCGCTCAGATTCTTAGGAAATGAAGCATTTTTCCTAAAGGTCATGTAACTCACAGTCGAAGATCAATGAAAGTTTTTTCTTTCCTTTTCCCCCCTTTTATTATTGTCAATATCACTGATCTACCATTTCTTTGAGGTGATTAAACTAGGCAAAATGGCAAAATAGTATCTATTTCTGTAAGTTAAAAGTTAATAATTCTAGAATAGACGCCTTCATTTACAACCGCCGTCAAGAATTACCTCATCAGACATCTAACCAGGGAAAATGAGCTCTCAGGATTTACAGCCAAGCATTTCCAACTTTGCCAAGTAGTGAACCCCTGGTTAAGTTGGGTCATCGATTCCATTCTACTCTGAGGGCAAGTAATTGGCAGGCAGGTTACTAAACATTGTCGCCAAGGCATCTCAATGGACTTCAAGCAATGCTCCATCATTCACTTCATCACCATCAAGAATTTCCTCGATTATCTGATTGATTGCATTTCCTTTAGCCTGCATTTAGAAGACAAATATTTCAGCAAATAACAAGAAATACCATGGGAATAGTAAGACAATCTGCAGATTAAAACCCCTAACCTTCACTCCAATTGCAATGGCTGTCTTTAGCTTGACGAGCTCACCCAATCTTAAAGACCCCTTTTTATTATCTTTAACAAAGATCAATGGTACCTTTCTTGATGAAGCCAAGGTTGGCAGGTGCTTCGTTAACCACCGTGGATTGCAATCAGCAGCTAACAAAATGGCCTACAAACTCAACAACAATAAACGACTACATACTGCATGTTCTAAAAACGTTGGCAGATCACTTAAATTTCAAATTTACAAACAGGGTAGCCAACCTGAAGCCTAAGGCAAGGGGCTTGAGCAGAGCTTCCCTTGTCAGCAATGGGCGCCATCCGTTCAAGTACACGTGTCACATCATTAATACCAATTGCAAATTGTTGCTAATAACAGTGACCCAAATACATATAATCAAATTTTAATTAAACCACAAAGTCAAAACAAAAAAATATTCAATAAAGCATTGAATAAGGAATTAAACCTTAAGCCATATTTTTTCAGGCAAGGAGTTTCCAGCCAATACTCTTGCTGACTCTACCCCTCTGTTCATAGTAATAATTTTAAATCATTAAATAACAAGTAGCTGAATACCCAAAAAAAGGGTATTTTTTTTTAATTATCGATAATGAGTTTGAATCATTTACCTTTGGATTGATTTAAGCACACGAACGAGACGTTCCCCTTCATAGCAACTGCCAGGACAAATAAATTAATTAATTAATTAATAAAGGAATTAAATCAAAGACCCAGAATTTGTATAAAAGCAATAAAAGCGAAGACAGACTTACTCTGGCCGCTGAGGAAGAGAGCCATCGACTATGTCTTTGGCAGCCTTGTTTCTAATCGGCATGCGTCTCTCAATAGTTCGCGACTCGTTTGATGAAAAGCTTGAAAGAATGGTTTTGAAAAGTGTAATTCGCCGGAGACGACTTCGATTAGCCCAAAAACTGAGTAAAAGCACATTGGGCTATCAAACTTTTTTCTGTATAGATGATGATAGGCCTGGAATGAGCCCATTTATTAAATTATCAAGTTATTAGGCCCACGGCTAGCTCCAGCTTAGAGCTCTTAGTTCATTTTCCTTTCTTAATGTTCTCCATTTCTTTTGGTATCATAAAAGGGGAAAAAAAAAGGAAAAAGAAAATACTAAACCCAATCTAATGACCTCCCAAAAAAGGACAAGTAAAAGTTCAGTCTTACGATACAAAAGAAAAGGGAGGAGAGGAATAAGAAAAGAGTTGGGGCTATGGTATCATCATCAAGTGTAAATAAAGTGTAAAGCAACAGGCAAATTTCATGTGTACGGACACATATATATATATTTCTTAAAATTTTGGTTCCAGGGCCCATCAATTAAGGAGGAAGGGACAATTTCCAGTATTGGTCCCATATCCTTAGCATGTTTTGTGCCCAATATGAAATTATTGGAATAAGTTCCCAAAAACATAAAAATCGAGTATCAATGCAGTAAATTATTGTGATTAATTCGTTGTAAAGCTAAAATAAATGAAAAATCAAGCAAAAAGATTGGGTGTGGTCCTCACTCGAAGATCTTGGATGGAGTCAAAAAGAACTACTATGAGGACACACTTGAGACAATACAGATCCAAAGGGACAAAAAAAACCAAGAATTTTAAAGTGATTCTTGTAGAGAAATTGGGATGGTCACTGCCTTTAATCCAATGTTATGCCAAGTGGGGCTATGCTACATCATAACCTTTTTTTAATCAATTAATTCAATAATCATCGTACCAACATATTAAATATATCATCATCAACAATGGGTCAACGGCAACGTTTCTTCTAAGCATTATTCATTTTTGATAATTAATTGTGTAATGCATAAATCCAGGCACATAGCATCTATTAGAAAATGGTCCTACCAACCAGCAACGTATTGGTGTTCTTGTTTGGTTTGATTTGTTTGTTTCGGGTGATGCTATAAGCCCGAGTCTCTTTGCTTCAGATGAGAATGAATCGTTTCGTTTTTGACAAATTCTTTACAGAAGAATATACCCATAGGCCATGGCAGCTCAATGAGCCAATGGGGTTAGATGAAATTCTCTTGTTTGTTTACATGTAAAGTCGATGTCCAAATCGTCTTAACTAGTGATGGTTTAACTTTGTATACATTTTACTTCGTATATTCTATTGTAGAGGACTATCATCAGCAGTGATTAATGACCATTAGTCTTGTTTCAGTTACTGCAGACTGACATGCATTGTAGATGGGGTGTAGCCTCGTAGATGAAACGATGTGTGAGGGTCTCTACCACATGGAAACGTGATGCTTTAGCCTGCATTATTATGGTGAAGTATTATTATTTATATACAACTGACAAGGAAGTGGGTGGGTTTGTTGCTAAAATGGTGGACCATTAAAGCTACCTGCCAGTCTACTGTAGAGAAGGAAAAACCATTGTCAATATTGTCAAGTTTGTCCTGTGGTAATGATGCACAAGAGAATAAAATTACTACAACATCGTTTCTTTTTGTTGCTTGTTCTGTTAGTACTATTTCTTTTGGCATTTTATAATCAGGATTCCCCAAGTCCTCCACCCATCAGATACTGTTAGCTTCCATGGAGGGAGAAAAAAAGGGCTAAACCGATTCCTGCAGCAGTCTACATAGCACCATATGGTTGGCGAAATGCTCTTTCTTTCCCAGATGGAATCCAAAAAACTTCAAAAAGGGAGCATAAAGAAACCTAAGAAATCTAATGATTCTCAGAAAAAGGTTGGCTGAAATCAATAACTGTTTTTTTTTCCGTTGCTGACAGGGATGGACTACTGTTTCTAGTAAAATATGTATATACTTTGTTTGCTTAAATTGTTTAGGAATGGTCCATAGACCCATACTTTAAAGGGAAATTCAATCATGCCATCACCTAATGAATCGACATGATGAACTGTTAATATTTTAATGAATACGAGTCATACCAAATGAGCATTAATTAGACATTATATTAGTTTGTATCCCCAAATACTCTCTTGGCACTTCAACACCTACATGCTTGATAAAAGAGTTCAGATCAATTAGGTAGCTTGAGTAAGGGCACGCCGAGTTAAATGTTAATTAGAAATAAACCCAAGTTAATTATTGCTATTAAGTGTTGATTATGCGTGTAGGAGTCAAATAAGCCATATTATTAACTCAAAGTTGCAGAGCTGTGAAAGTTGGTCCAAGAAAACATGAGGAAATGGTCATGATGTGTAATGAAAATTCGTTGGCCAAAGTAAAAGCAAAAACCCCTTATTCCTTGAGAGTTTCCTGTAACATTGTTAGTTAAGTCTAGCACATATTAATGGTCCTAGATATGAAAGTTGCTTGAATTGTCACTTTCATATATGTAATGAATGGAGTTGTTCTTTCGATCAATAAAATTTCAAACTATCCTATTAAATCTTACTCCAAATACAAGATTACCTTCTCCTATACAAAATCATGATTGATGTGGAAGAAAGGAGGTCAGAAACCAGAACAGGGTTAGCACACATTCAATGTATTTCGTTGTCGTTCCTTTTCAACGAGTCAAATGCAATATATAAGGCAAAATCTGAGGAAGATTTTGCTAAAAAATAAGAAATAGGTAAACATCGAACTTGAAGCAAAAAACACACACCGAAAACCCTTTAGTCCCACAAATGAAGTGGCTCGAGCCTTGCAGGCGGGGAGCCTGCAGCATGTTGACACTTGACAGTCACAAAATACACTTGAGAGAACTGTTTTTAAGTGTTTTGGTTTGAATGGTCATTGGATACCTGACTTTGGAAACCTTTTCGTTTTGCATTACCGTGATCAGGACTTCCCCTTTGTCTCTCTCGTCCTGCCCCTGGGACTTTGTCCCCTTCTTTCAAGACATTTTTTCTTATTTCCTTAATATTTACAGTTAGTACTTAGTACCTTCACGGATTCACAGCCATGAGATTAACACAGAATGCTTTGTAAAATCTTTATTAAGTAGTCAGATGGTCAGTTGGTCACTGCCTTTTGCTCACTGTCAGCCTGTTTTCTATGTTGTTTTGTTGAAGCTAAGTTATGAAAAACTATTGGGACCGGGATTCTTGTCTGGGTTTTTTCTGTTTCTCTCAATTAGTAAAAGAGAAATGTTAGTCTACTAATCATGATGTTTCAAAGTAGTTTCATAATTTCGTCCGTAAGACAGGAATGAGAATGAGACATAACCTCGTGGAGGTGGAACCGAGGAGTAGACTTTGTGACATGGGATAGTATATTTTTTTAAAACGTTTTACATAAAAACAATAAAAATATTGTGAAAGTGGAGGCTTAAGCTCTACCTGAATGCAGTTTATTTTGTCAAGGAAAAAGAAGAAGAAAAAACAGAAAAGGGGGAAGGCATGAGTGAAGAAGGAGATGTGGAAAATGATTTTAAGGGCATCATAATGGCCAATCAAATGGGATTGTTAAGGTTTCCCTTTAGGGGTCAAACGATCAAACCCCCTGAGTCATGGAGAGAGAAAGAAAGAGGTGGTCCCTGCTTCCAAAGCCTGTGCTCTGACTGTGTGAGACTTCACCAAGCCCACTGGTTTAAACCGCTCCGCTCCTGTTTAACTGGTCAAGGCCGTTTGGGTCAAACAAGCAAAGCCGCATGTGAACATTAAAGAAAAATTTGACCCACACCTTGTTATTATTATTATTATTTTAAAATTTTTTAATGTGAGGATGAACTCGGGATTAGTGATACCAAGAGCTATCCATGTTCGTCAGTTACGAAAGGGGGCTATCTCCAACAAAAACAATTTGGACAAAGCAAACGACGCCGTTGCTGTTGTGAATTGTAATGCTTTCCCCGGCAGGAACTACATGTCCCTTCCCAAAATCAAAACTTTGTTGTATTTCCTTATCAGCTCCTTTTTGTTTTGTTTTATGCATAGTTATGTCCTGCCTTCGGTTTTATCAGTTTATGTATATTGGAAACTACTAGTAGTAAAAAACACAAAAACAGAAAAAGAAGGAAACGGCTTTATGGAAATCCCTGTTTTGAATATGTGATGGCGGAGGTGAAATTACTGATGTTTTTTGTTTTTTTGGTGTGTATTACCTTTTTGACGGATTTTACGAACTCAAATTAAAGTAAGAAAGATTTGTCACATGAAATGAGATAGGAACATGGATGGATAGAGATAAAGTGAGTTTAGCTAGGATGCCTTATCTCATGCAAGAGTTTTAATCTGTGTGTAAGTATAACTCTTCCAGTCCAACCCCACTACGAAGACTTTCTCTTTCTATAGGGAAAGGTCCCTCTGTTTCTCTCAAAATAGAAGCCAACAGTCGCAAACGCAAACAAAAACAAGCCCCAAAAAGCTCACTCACCCTTCACTTCTCAGAACATATATACCAGGATACCAACCACTCCCATCTTCGATTTCATCGAGTTTGTACCTATTTTCAGCTTCCTTAAAGCTTTAACTTTTCTGGGTAATCCTTCATTTCTTCTCATCAGTTTAGTGTACAGAGCAAAGACAGAGAGAGAAAGAGTAGTGACGGAGCAGGTGAAGACATTAGAGGGACCTACTGCTTAATTTTTGGCGGGCAGCAACGGTCACTTTCAATGATTTTTCTTTGGGTGGTGGTGGTGGTTCTCTCAATGACCCATCCAATCACCCACACTCACACATACACACACTGCCTTATTGCTACCTAGCTAGCTACAGAAAGGGGATCTTATTCTTGATCAGAAAAATAAAATAAAAAGAAAAAAAAAACCAACCCTTCCTCCTCCTCCAGGTGTTTTCCTTCGCCTTTATTTTGTTTTGATCAAACAAAAAGGACAGGGCTTTAGTTGGAGAGTGAGGTCTTTGTGGCATCTGCGAGTTGTCTTCTTAGGTGCTTGGGCTGAAGGGGAAAATTGCAGATCTCATTCATATGAAGAGATCTTTCAGTGTGAGTTGTTTGATCATTGCTTCTCCTGCCCTTGACTTTCTTTTCTTTTTTTTGTTGTTTTGAAAAAAAAAAATTCTCTGTTGAATGGGGCTTAATTTGTCCCTAGTCATTCTGCTACAACACTAAGTGCTTGAACTTTGAACAAGATCTGAACAAAATGTTCAAAATGTGTTATGGGAGAACAGTTTGACTCATCTAAACTCTTTTACACTCGTTACAAAATTGATTAAGAACATTGCTGGGATCTAAATGAGCGAAATGGATCTTCTATTTAGCTTTTATGAGTGTTGTAGACAATTTGTGGTTGTGAGTAATATTTAGATTCTTCTATTTGGGATCAGCTGTTGCTTAGATATCCTTTTTGTAAAATGTAGCCCAGCTTCATCGACTTTTCTGTCCTTCTGCTAGTTTTATGGCATGAAATCTGTGAGTCATTTATTATCCATGACTTGGTTGATAAAGTTACTCGCTCACTACTTTTGCATGTTTCTCATTACCTATTTTCAGACTTCTTTGTAATCTGGCTTTCATTTTTATTTGAACTCCGAGTTTGTTGAATGATCACACTTGTCTAATTACTTAATCAGTAAATTGCCCATATCTACCTGTCTCGGTCAATCAGGAGTAACTAAAGAATAAGGGGAGGAAAGCTGCTTAAACTCTGATTCAACATTCATGATCAATTCTAAAATCATTTCTTTTCAGCTGTTGGATGTGCTCCTGCTACTTGCATTTGTCAGTCATACTACATGGGCTGTCAATGGCAGCTTGCATTGCAAACAGACCAACTCAGGCGAGACTCGGCCGCACAGTGTCACTATTACTGAATTTGGCGCAGTTGGAGATGGTGTCACTCTCAATACGAAAGCGTTTCAGAATGCCATCTTCTATCTCAATTCATTTGCTGACAAAGGTGGGGCCAAGCTTTTTGTCCCAGCTGGCCGGTGGTTGACAGGAAGCTTCGATCTCATCAGTCACCTAACTTTGTGGTTAGATAAGGATGCAGTAATTCTTGGATCAAAGGTAAGTCCTTAACTTATTTCAAAAGAATATTTACCCCTAAGATATGAAAAGAACATTGCAACCTGGTCGCGTGGTGTTTCCTATGATCCCCTTCTGGCTAGAAATTTTCTTGTATATGGGAACTGTTTTTACAATACTATGCAGTCAACGTGTTGACACAGGAGAATTTGCATTCGGCTATCTGTAAGCAAGTCTATGCTCTATATGGTGAACATACTAATTTAATAATGCAAGAATAACATCTCATTTATGATCATTGATGCTCTGCTGCTAGTCTATATGATATTTTTCTGCCTATGCCCAAATTCAACTGGGCATTCCCATCTGTTGTAAGCCTACTGCTCTTGATGCTTTCTTATCACATATTGAATAATAGCTTATCTTCTGGGTGTTTCAGAATTCTGATGACTGGCCGGTTGTTGATCCTCTGCCTTCATATGGCCGAGGTAGGGAGTTACCTGGAGGAAGGCATCGAAGCCTCATATATGGACGCAATTTGACTGATGTCATAATAACAGGTTAGTAACATTGATGAAGAATGCTCTTCCCTGAGCATTTTATTTCATTTGTTGATGCCATTGGTTCTCCGTGCAGGTGATAATGGAACTATTGATGGCCAAGGCAGTGTTTGGTGGAACTGGTTCAGAAGTAAAACTCTGAATTATACTCGGCCCCATCTGGTTGAGTTGATGAACTCAACTGGGGTTGTAATAACAAACTTGACTTTCTTGAATTCACCATTTTGGACCATCCACCCAGTATACTGCAGGTTTGTGCTCTTCATTAATATTAGCATGCTCTTCTTGTTTGTTGCAATTAAAGTGTTTACATTACCATTTTAGAACAGAACTATTAAGAGTGAAAGCATTTATCAATTAAGTGGAGACTTTTATTTTTCTTGATGAACAGCCATGTTACAGTCCAGAATGTCACAATTCTTGCTCCTCTGGATTCACCAAACACGGATGGGATTGATCCAGGTGAGTTCTATATGCAAACCTGGAAATTCTGAGTATTCTTGAATGATTGCAATGGCAAGCAATTAAAGCTGTAACAACTTTAAAATGTAACAAATTTTGCAAGACACAAGATTCTACTTTGTAACACATGTTTGTATCCAAGTGTAATCAACATTTTTGTCTCTATTTTCTACTCCATTTTGACCTCTTGCATCTTTCTTACTGATATGTTTGAATACATCCAGATTCTTCTGATGATGTTTGCATTGAAGACTGTTATATAAGCACCGGTGATGACCTAATTGCCATCAAAAGTGGGTGGGATGAGTATGGCATTTCATTTGCTCGTCCCAGCACAAATATTACCATCCGCGGGCTTGCTGGACACAATCGAAATGGCTCTGGGATTGCAATTGGAAGTGAAATGTCTGGAGGAGTTTCTGAAGTTTATGCAGAAAACATATATTTTTTCAATACCAGCACAGCTATCATAATAAAGACAGCTCGCGGAAGGGGTGGCTATGTGAGAAATATCTATATATCAAACGTTACTTTGGCTGGTGTAGACACAGCTATAAAGTTCAATAGTAATTTTTCTCAGCATCCAGATGAGTTTTATGATCCAAATGCTCTCCCTGTGATAGAAAGGATTACGATTAAAGATGTTATAGGGGATAACATAAAAGTTGCAGGCCTCCTCAAGGGCATAGAAGGGGACAGTTTTCGTAATGTTTGCTTATTGAATGTTACTCTCAATGTAACCTCAGAGTCTTCTTGGAACTGCTCTAATATTCGAGGATACTCTGCCTTGGTTTCCCCAGAAACTTGTGAACCTCTGAAGGAAAGTATCTTCCCGAAGCATTATTCAGACTGTTACCATCTATCAAATCATTTGTGGAGTTCAGGTAATGAAAACAGAGGTTCTTGGTTGCTTTCTTGGTAAATAGTGGAAACATAGCATTTGCTTTACGGTGAAATCACCCTCTTTCATGAGTTTTGAAATTTTTAGTGGGAAATTTGATTCTTGCCATTTCTCAACACAACAGCCCATCACCTCGCCAAGGAAATGATGCTCGACATAAGAAGTTGATTGGAGTAGCTGATAAGAGGTTGTTGACTTGTGAGATGGTGTTGAGAGATTGTTTCTTGTAACTTTGTGTGCAGTAACAAATAATTGAGTGATTTGTAAGAAAAATGCATAGATGAGTATGTCTCTGAAAGGGTTTTTTTTTTTTTTTTTGCTTGTCGCAGTCTGAAATCCCAACATATTAAATTTTGGTATGTTACGAAGGTCAAGTTATTCAAAAGCTCAATGAAAACAGAATCACAGAAAATTTTACATAAACTGTGTAATTTCTTGAGGTGTCTTTCATTGTGGTGGTCGTCAATCCAGGCTGTTTCCTGGGAAGTTGCATCCTTTGCATGAAATGGAAAGGCAATTTCCATGCTTTGGAAGGTTATGCAGCGGAAGTTCTCAGGTAATATACTACAGCAATTACGTGCCCGACCCGTCCTTGTTTTTGGTACGGTACAAGATTCGTTGCATCAATGTATGTGCTAAGTTAGGTGCAGGTTCCTCAACTGTATTTGTATTCAATAATCTAAAGAGTATCCAATTATAGTCTGTGAAAGAGATGAAAAAGAAATCAAGTACACTTGTAAATCTAATGAGATGAGAATGCTTCGTCAAGAATGAACGCAGGCAACCAACGAATCTTTCTCAGAGGCTGAGAACCTTGAAATTCAAACGTCTTTATCTTGGAGATGCCTCACTGCCATCCTTTTTAATAACAGAACATAAAACCTGCCTTGAAATGTATGTTTCAAGCTCCTTGGAAACCTCCGTCAACTTCAAATCGAAATTGCTTCTATATTTTTGTTTTGGTGATGGCATAGCACTCGAGAACAGAGTAGTAGAACCAGAAAATCGACGCCTTGGGCTTGAAAACCTTCCTGGTGAACCTGGAAGCCTGCCTTTGGAAATGAGAGGCGTTGTTGCTGTTCCTGAATTGGCTATGTTTCTCTCTGGGTTCATTAGTGGGCCACGTTTTGTCTCCAGCGGTAGTGGCTTCAATGGATCAAGTTCCACCGCTGGCTTTGGTTTCATAAGCCTTTCTCTAGCCTTCTCCGCAGCTAGAAGAGCTTTCTCCTTGCTAAGATTTATCAGTTTCCATGGGTTAATGCTTACATGGAACCCTTGTTTCTTGCTTGTTAAGTTGGAAGCTTCAGGATCTCCATCAATTCGTATGGACAATCTTGATGGGTTCTGAAATTGTAACTGAACAGTAAGGTGAGCCTGCTCAAAATCATTGGACAAAGTTTAAGATGGAATGTCTTGTATATACCTGAGTTCTCTGTCCTCTGCACAAAAACCTTGACACAAATGTTTGTTTTTCAGGTGAATCAAAATCAGAACTATCATCTGACGAGATATCTGAGTCGTCAAATGGGTCTATTGTAAATTGGTTCTCCTCTTTCATTGCCAGTATATAATCATAAGTTCTCATTCCCTGTAACAAGAATCAACACATACTATTGAGACTGGAAAGAAACTAAACAGCTAAAGCCTGTGTAGTAACAAGTTAAAGGCATTGATTCCGAACCCTCTTCACTGCATTCAAAGGCATTGATGCAGCAAGATATGCCACAACTCAAGTTGAAAGCACGAATAAAACAAATAACCAAAGTCCTCACATTTACTTAAAAACTGCTAATTAACTTAGCATGTGGGTACATACGAACATAATAGTTACTATATTTCAAATGTCAAATTGTTGAGACAGGCAAGAACTGCGAAAGTGAAAAGTTCATTGGGCTTCGAAATGACGCGCATGCTGAGATAGTGACAATTCGAATCCTATACTGAAGAAACGTAAGGAAATTTTCTTCAAGGACTGGGGCATGAAGATAACAAATGCATACCAAAGTTTAGCTGATGCGAAGTGACATGCTCGAAATTGTTATAATTGCAAATGGGGTACACTATAAAAACGACAGAAAATTTCCCTTATTTCTTAGCTTTACAGTAATGATTGGAATATATAATTCATCAGCATAGGAAATGCAAAATGATTTCCTAGCACGGAACGGAATGATAATGGAGTGACAATTAAATGACTATGACTCCCACCAGAACCACATCTTTTCTTGTAAATTGACCATATTGGAAAGAGCCTCATTCATGTGCATAAAGTTGCAGTGGTGATGTTGAAGGGAGCAACTGATGGGAAGCTTGAAGTAGAAACGACCAAGCACGTAACTTAGTACAACAAGGTTTCTATTTTTTACCTAACCAAACTGACATGGCATCTTATTTTTTCAAATTACTGTATTGGGTTTTACAAATTAATCCGAAGAGGGAAGCTATAGCTTACCTTTCTTATCAGAACTACATGAAAGAAGAAAAGTTGTCCCATTGCTGCCGAACCATAAGCAGTAAACAATGCCAACAAAATCTGTTATAGTTCCAAGAGTTATTACAAACCCATACCAGAATTTGTACTCCAAATATAGCTGTAATGTAAGAAAGATAATATTTACTGTGATTGTGGCAAGAACTTCTCTAGGAAACTCCATATAGAGCCTTTTCTCCAGCTCCTGCTCAATTCCTTTCTTATCAGCAAAGCACCTGACGAATATGGCAATAGCAGTTCCTCCTTCTAGGATTAGCTGTAAGAGTAAAGATTCAATTGTCAGGGTAAATAGAATTTCAAGCCCTTTTAGAGGTAAGATGCAGCATAATATAGTTGTTCTCTAGCAATTGAAGGACATAAAACACCACTTACCATTAACAATACAAAAATCATCAGAAGAATGAATGTCGTATAATTCCTTTTCCCTACACAATTGTTCAGCCACTGACATAAAACAAGCAATTCCACATCAATGCACAGCAATTGCTTTCTAAAATACACTACAACCTGAAAATAGAAACGAAAAAAAAAGGCCCAAAATAAGACTCAAAACCCGGTCCTTACCCTGCAATGATGATCAAAACCTTCAACACACCGGTTGCAACTCCTACAGTGCTTGCTATGTTTTTTCACCTAAGATAAAGTAGAGAAAGTTTTAAAAGACAAAATACAAGGGAACCCATCTGTTATTATTATTTCTTATAAATGTTACTGGCACAAATGCAAACCTCAAAATCACAGAGAGAACAGTAGGAGATGTCATCCTCTTTAAGGTCAGGTGAAACTGCATCATCTTTCATGACAAGGGGAAATGGTAGCAATGGTTCCATTTGGACATTGGTTTTCAATGGATCCAAATACTTCCTCCTTATGAAAGTCCTAAGAATCTTCTTCTCCAACCTCCTAAAAAACCTTACAACAATCTGGGTCAATATGAACCCGTAATTGAGCTTCAAAACCCCTTTAGATTTGTCTCTTTTCTTCTTCCTAGAGCTGGTTTTATCAGTAGGGTCAATAGCAGTACACCTAATAAACAGGAACATAACAGAGAGTGCCTGGAATTGGAAAACCAAATTAAAACAGTTCATTAATTCTCAGTGAGTTTTGGGCTATCAAAACTGATAAGAAGAAACCAATAAAAAGGTTCAAACGTTTTGCTTAGAGATGATTACCACAAAGGAAAAGATAGTTGTGACAATTATTTCTGCAATTCTGTTTCCAAGCAAGAGACCTAGAAATGTGTAAAAGGCCACAACTAGAAAGCTGTATACCGCCATTCCCACCATCTGCAAATCCAATAATTTCAACTCAATTCAAAGTCTCAAACCAAAAAACAAATGGTCAGCAATTCTAAGACAATAAAAGAAAAGGGTCTAAGTTTGACATTTACCTGTAAAGGATGGAGAGGTCGCTGCCAACCATGGCGTCTCATGATCCTCATGGCCTTAAACTTTGCAGCTTTTTGAATCCAAACAACAACAGATTTTTTCTTTGTGTGTTAAATTAATTTAAATTAAGGTACTTAGCAATCCATGGGATTTGCTTTCAAAGTCCTAAAGAGCAGAAAAGTTCTCTTTTGTTAGCTGTTTTTATGTGTTTCGTGTTTTTTAATGTTTTCCCTTGAAGTTCACGCTTAGCTTGAGGAACAGCATCCCCTCCCACCCCCAACGGTCGAATGTCGATAAGGCGGTTTGAAATTTGAACGGCCATTCTTGATGCAGATCTAGCCCCATCTGACGGCTGCGAGTTCATCATCATTGTTTTCTTTTCCATGTTTTGGGCCCGAGAAGGCAAAAATATTTCTGCGTGGGTCCATTGCGTTAGTGCGACTAAACATTCCATGGGGCACCAACCGTGAACTCAGATTCCCTACAATGTTGACCTGTTGAAACTTTGGGAATGCTAGGTTAAATGGTCAATGGATGGGCCTCAGAAGTTTTAGCCCATAAAACCCAGATTGTGACATACAAGGCCCAAATACTTGAGACAATGGGTTTCCCTGGCATTGCAGGGGATTTGAACTCGTATTCTTGTTTGTACTCCTCAATGTGACCATGCGACGCAGGTGCCTGTTGATTCTCACATCACATCAAATATGTATTAAAAGTGATTTTGAGCTTAAAACAGAAGAATTATCACTTCAACTAGTTTTCCAAGTTGAGGCTCTGTGACAAATGCATCTTCGTCATCATTGAAAGAAAATTGGGCAGCATCCATGAGTTCCTCCAAACTCTTCAGTGAGTTCTTTGATATTAACAAATAACGAAGCACATGATGTTAAAGTACCCCATCATTGAATAAGAAAGTATACCCTTTTAAGGGATTAAATCCGAAAAGAAATTGGTAGCTAGTAAAAGGTCTTTTGGTTCATAAAAATAAAATGGTAACAACCAAAGCATCACCTGTTGCATAAATAACCCATGTTTTTGAAGGCAAAACTAGACCAAAACCAAAAAAACAAAACCGATTAATGCGAAAGCGAATTGCAAAGGAAAGCACGACGCTGAAAAGATTAATCACTGAATCATCTGGAGGAACTCAAGGTTGGCACCAAACGTGCGGTTTCTTTCTTCTTCTCGACTTCTGACTTGAAAGCCATTAATATTGTCTGTTAGGTTGGATAGCTAGCTAGGCTTGTTTTTCATTTGTCTCTCGAAACCGGTTATGATGCTGCTTATATAGATAAAATTGCACCTTCGAAACTGAGCTTCCCAGAGCCAGAAGACGTCTCTCAGGTGCAACTGGCGAATCTTTTTTCTTTTTGGATGATAAGAAAAGCCCCGTGCCTAGATGAACGTGGCGTTTTTTCCTGGTCGGATTCGTTAAAAAACCCAAGGAGATTCATTGAACTTGGACACTGCATGGTGCTTTATTCTCATGCGTGTAACTTGCAAGGAGACGGAATCTTATCTACACTGACAACCCTGTGTTCAGTTTAACATGTTGTCGAGGAAATCCTTTGTCCTGAGTTGATGAAAACGCGTGGAAAAAGGTTTCCTGGGTAAACCCTGAACATATTTTCTACATAAGCAGCCTTTCTCCCGGTTGATTCGTACGATATCATTTATGTAGCGTCTGCTGCTTGAGCTCCTCCTCCTCCTCGGATTGGGTAGCTGGAGTCAGACTCTGGAGAAATTGGAAAAGTACCGGCTCAGGATCAATAATCTATGTCAGGATGAGTAGGAGATATTTCCATGCATAGGTTACAAGGCGACAGAAATATCAACATCCATACGTTGAAAGATGAAACCAGAAAAATGGAGCAAATTAATTAAACCGCTAGAGGAAAAGAAATAGGAGGACAAAAGAAGTGGATTAATTTGTCCTTTGCATCGCTCTTTATTAGGTAGAATACACATATAGTAGAGAAATTAGGTGGAGTATTATTTATGTATTTTTTTCTTCTTTATGCCGCTTAGCAATTAATGCCATTTGACATAGGCTTAACCCAAAATCTTAGCACCAAAACTATAACCCTTTATAATTTATAATTAGAACTAGCTTTCTAGTTGATTACTAAGAGCCTGTTTTGTCTAATTTTTTTAAAACTTAAAAATTATTATAAATCTTTTATATAAAATAATAATTTTTAAAATTAAGTTAAAGTTGTTTAATAAGCTGTTTGATAAAATAAATTATATAAACTCTAATTTCAGTTAAAATTATTATAAAAAGCTATTCATACTATCTTCAATCGCTTAATAAAAATAAGTTTGTATAGAGTTTATATACGATTTTAGATATTAAAATAAAAAAATTTATAAAAAAATGAAATAACTTTCAAACTTGTATAGTAGTAATAATATTAAATTTTTGTTAATCTAACAAACAATCAGACCATAATACTTCAATTCCCTAAAAAAAGAAAAAAAAAGATGAAATGATGTATTTGATATTAAAATCCTTTTTAGTGAAGAAGAAAAAAAATTTTTAAATAGTATTAGCTTTGAATTTTGGGTCTTATTTTCTCTTAATCTTTTTAAGAATAAAAAAAAATCCTAAATTTTGCTATTTTGATGCTAGGTCTTGAGTTTTTTTTTTTCTAATAATCTTTATAGAGAGAGGTAGAAGAAAGGAAGAACGCGATTTGCGTTGAAAAAAGTTGATTTGCATAGGAAAAGAGAGGAAAGAGAAGGGTACTTCTTAAAAAAAGTGACATATTTTTAAAAGAAGAAAAGAGAAAGCTCTTCTTTAGAGCTTTATTTAAACTCTTTTTTTTAAAATTTTATTCTTTAAACAAAGTTACTTTTTTTTTAAAAGTTTCTCAAAAATCTTATTTAGTATGGCTTTTACTTTTAAAAGATAAATAAGTTGAAAAAAAATCAAGTCAAATATGCACTAAATGAAAGGAAGAATAGGAATTGAGATTCAAAAGTTGAAGAAATGAATTTGATTAAATGTAAGACCTAGCTACTAAGCTCCCTTTATCTTCAAATTATAACATGCTACTATATATAAGTCAAAAGCTGATTAGTATTGTGAACGTATTAAGTATATATTTGATTCCTTTTGATGTCAAATGTCAATATTAATCATTTAATTAAAATATGAAACAAAAATTATATATATATATATGACTTGCTTTAGTCAATTTTCATTTTTAGAAGTTTGAATAGTCTATGTTAAGTAAAGGTAAAAGCATCGTTGAATAAGTATAAGGATCTATGATAAACCATACTCCCTCTATTATTCTTTGGATCCCAACTATATATATATCAATTCTAACTCACATCTGACATTGGTGGATTGAGTTAATTTTGAGTTAAGTTTTGTGGAAAAACTAATTCCATTAATTTTCCTCTTTCTCTTACTTTTCTAATCCAACCAAACGAGGAAAAAAAATTGGGCTGCTATAGTCTTATACTAAACTAATAAACACCTTGTAGGACGGGCATTTCTTCATTTCGTTTTTTTCTTCTTAAAAAAGTAAAATTATATTAATAATTACCTAATATTCTGACTATTTATTTTCAATTAGTGAATAAGGATCAATATTTTGTTTATTAAAAAACATCTTGAGATTAGCCCCTAAATTAATTAATTAATTAACTAGCTGATGGGTCATTCTAGTCACACTAGAGATTTAGGTCAAGGGTTTTTTTTTTTTTTTTGCAAAGCAACTTGTATATTCATTCCATCAAGAGAGCTGTAAGTCTTTTCCTATGGGTAGAAATAGACTAAAAGCAGCAAATTACAATTCTCAACAAGCTCGAAATTAAGAGATGAAAAAAACAGTGCCCGGAAATTACAAGTGACCAAAAAGAAAATCGTATTTGGCCAGGGTTTAGCAAGCTTCTTCCTCTAGCAATATATGTATGCAGTAGGTATAGAATGTTTTAAAGTTATGGCAGTAAACAATAATTAAAACAAGGGAAACAAAAACTTCAACTCAAGCAAATAATTGCTAGTATATAATTCTGCAAAAGTTATATAAATCCCTTTCACTATACATGTATATCTCTTCATACTTATTTAATTATGTACAAAGCAAAATCATCTCCAACAAAAGAAATACTTAAAAATTTTGTCCACCAACTCATTGTTACAACCCACTCTAAGCTTTCAGTATGCTTACACTGCATGTGATAACATATCATATTCTCTACAGTAAAGAGTATCGAAATATTTGGATTAGGAAAGGCGGTAATGATCAGATTCTGAAAGTCTTTTCTTACGGCTATAGCGACGCGCAACTGCAAGCCCGAACCACGAACCATCGGTACACTGTTGTTGATCAAAAGAGTTCACTATGATGAATTCTTCTACATATAACCCGGATCAGGTGTAACAACATCTACGTGCACGTCAAAGCTTGCTCCATATATTCTACTGCTCTGATCATAAAAAAGATGGGTTCTTCTCTCAAACTGTCTACTTAACAAGCAAAAGGTTATGCAAAAAAGTGATAAATTACCTAAGAATGCGAAGACCCAAAAGTGCTTATCACCCTAGCTAGTTAGTGGAGAAAGTGGTGCAAGACTGCGGAAGCTGTGGTGATCCTGGAAGACCAGGCACCCTATTGGAGGCATTGCTATTCCCACCATTGTTAATAGTGTTTCCACTGTTGCTCGGTGGTGCTCCCATAATAGTCGAAATAGCTGCAGCCAAGGCTGCGGTGAAATTCGGATCAGAAGCAATGGCTGCTGTAACTGTGTCAACCATAGAAGCAGGACGTTGCCCTAACTGCGTTACCGGCAATGCAGATAACTTGGTGGGAGAGAACATAGAGTGCCCTAAAAGCTGCGGATAGCCTTGCAACGGTAATGGAAATGTAGCTGTGGAAGGCGGGGGACGTAAAAACGGAACGGCGTTTGGGCCCTGAGTTAAGTCAAGGGTTATGGTGGGAAAAGGGGCAGAGGCAGATAGGGTGGCCATCGTTGATCCATAAGGTAAGGAAGGGAAGTAGCCAGAACTCGATAGGCCATCCTTGCTAGTGGTTGAACCTGATAGCAGCATGGCTGCTGCAGCTGACGTAGTGTTAGCCATAGCTGTGGCTGCTGGTGGAAGAGGGTGATTGTGATTTCCTTCATACGTTGTTATGAGAATGCTTTTATCCTCAGAGCATCTTTGCACCTGTCCGAAAATAAGGTAAGTTTAAGTAGTTGGAAGTGCTCAAAAGAAGGTAAGTTTTAAGTAGTTAAAGGTTTTTCAGAATAATCGAGCGTATTTTACTCTCTTCTTATTCCCAAAATAAAAAATATTAACTAGAAGAAAAAGACAAGTACCTGCTTACGAACTGGGCAGCCAACAGCCATGGTGCATCGGTAGTAGGCGCGTGGACAAGGGTTGCCCTTGGCCATCTTTTGACCATACTTCCTCCACTGACATCCATCGCTTATCTGCGCCAAAGAAAAATAAGAACCATCGTTAATTTCCACATATTCTTTAAAGTTCTTTCATATAAATAAGGAATTAAAATTGTACAGTTGCAAAATAGTCCTTACCAAGGGAGCTTCTGACCTCGCTCTAACCGACACCCTGGCCTTCCTGAAAGGTACTTCAGAGACTTGCTCTTCATTCTTTGACTGTTCTACCTTTGGACTCTTGGGCGACCCCCAGCTTTGAGACGTTCGATCAGTACCATCTTCAACAGAAACGTGCTTTCCTGAAATTCGAGTCATTTGATGGTCGCGTTCCTTTGACACGACTTCCATAGTGTTTACTGGGGATACCGACAATTCCTGCGTCTTGTCGTCAGATGCCGAAGGCGCATTGACATCCAAGGCAGCCGATGGTCGTGGGTCCATGACTTGTTGTACTGACACTGGTAGACTTGACATGCCATTAACTGCACCCTTCTGTTTGAAAACCAACCATTTGATTAGTCTTAGCCTTGGATATTGATATTCCTCAGTGAGAGAAGAAAAATGCGACGAGCTTAATTATCAACCAATCTTCTTTACCTCTAAATATCAAACGGCAAAATGTTTACGGTACTTCTCTTTATGCTAATCCCCAGATTACTTCTCTTTAACCTAGATACATAGGTTATGTTTCTCAAAGAATCTCTTTTAAAATGTTTTGAAGCAAGAGAAAAGATCCCTTTAGGTTGTCCAAAGTGCACACGAGGGGGTGCAAATAAGCCTAAATAGGCAAGCAGTTGAGCAAACGCCGCCTATTCTACAGTATGCTTTACTCTATTATCGTTTACAAGGACCACTGCAGGCGCACGGTGAATCATATTAGATAGGGGGATCGAATAACCGTGTATGAAATTTACTGAAAATTTCTTTTTGAAGATAGGAAGGAGTCCAAACTTCAATGTGGTTTTGCATAATAATAAGGCGAAAACTGATATTAGCAAAGATATATTACGATTAAGATATTGAAAAAAGATGATACGGGATCAAGAGAGCACACTTTCCAATTCTAGTGAAGCACGTTAACCAATTTTTTACGGATTAAAAAAAAGACACATCCAATATCCAGATCATACTGTTAAATTTTAATGGATAATAAAAACCCTCTCTTACTTTAATTTAAACCACAGGAATCACCTAGCAAACTGATGTATATATTCGAATCTGTTGTGCTTGACCTTATGGTAACTTAATCAAACTTAAATTCACCTGTTCTCCTTGATTTCCATGTGCCTGTTTTTGCACCGCCATGAACAGTTGACCTTGTAGTTCGTTATAGTTTTTGGTAATCTGATCCAACATGCTTCTCAGTCTCCGATTCTCTTCGTGCAACCTTTGTAACTCGATTCTAAGAGCACTCATCTGAAAACCCAATTTTCCGTTTATAAGTTTAAGCTCACAAAGCAAAAAGAAATGAAAACATTTACATGGTAAAACGTTTTTCATGTACAAATTTCTCTTCGGAAAACTCACTTCAGAATTGGGTTTCTCTTCATTAGTTGTCCTTGAAACTCTCGGGCTTGAACTGAGAAGATTTAATCCAGTCTGAACAACAAAATTTTAGTCAATGAGAAGAAAACTCAAATTTCCATAATAATTCCAACTAGTATTTCCATATCACCCGATAGGTTCAATGAATATATAAACATAATAAAAAAATTAATAATAATCCAAAACCTTACGTTTACACCCGAATCAAACAAGGAAGATGATCCATTATTAATCTTGCTCTCTTGAAGAGGATCATGTGGTTGATTGTTAGTAGAAAAGAAATCCATTTCCTTGATGGTTGGCTTCACATGATCACTAGAATCATCAAGCGTCCGATCATGCAGACCAGAATTCGGCCGGAGGAAGTCACCAGAGCGCAAGAACGTCAATTCTCGACGGTGCTTCTTCTCCATGACTAAAGGTGAAAGAAAGAGAAAAAAAAAAGAAGAAAGAGAGAAAGAGAAAGATAGAGAGAGAGAGAGAGAAGAGAGGAGGAGTAGTTATGGAGCTTTTTCAAGCTTTCAACAAGAAGAAAGAGTATTTTCACTATAGTCGTTATATAATAAATCACTAAGAATGCCAAAGAAGAAAGAGGAGAGAAATGACTTAGCTATAGGGGTGGTCCAAAAAAGATTAAAAAATAAAAGAAAGGGATCATTAGAGGGAAAGAGTAAGCGAAGACCAGCCGTTTTTTTCGCGGAAGATATGACGTAACAGTTGATGTAGAGGGGGACGTGGCAAATTCTGGTTGAAGCAGGACTAAGCAAGGAGTGAAACGACGGGTGAGGGCGGTGAGACGGAATGGCGTTAAAGATAACGGAGGATTGAGGTACTTAGCGTTTTTAGTGTAAAGGAGAGAGATAGGGTACGGGCGGTCCACGTGGGGGCGTCGTCTCGAGGTCAACGCAGTTGACGGCACGGCTCTATCTGACGGTGGTTAGGGATTAAAAAAAAAAAGAAGAATGAGGAAAGAAGGGGAGGGGTCCACCTAGGGGAGGATACCTAATCCCACTTGACTTATGAAGCCAGGCCCCCCACGTCAATTTTTTGGATCAGTCCACGTCCCTCCCCCGGATGCTGGCTCACCTGGCTAGCTCGGCTCCTTTCCGCTCTACATGCGCTCAACCACCTACGCTTTGTTCTCATTGAATATCTTTGCGACTTTTAATCCTAGTCTAATTACCCCGTTTATGTATATCACTTTCATTTCCCTAGAATATTATTAATATATGTTTATCGGTGCTTCAATTTTTATGCACATTTTTTTACATAAATCAATTTCTTTTATTAATGTATAAATTTTAATTATCTATTTATATGATACTTGATATGAATATAAAATAAATCAAATTTCACGTACTCTAATTTTTTTTATTTTTATATTAGTCAAATGAATATGATATACGAATTTAAAAAAAAAAGTGAAAAAGGAATAGGGGAGATGAAAGAAACTCCTCATCACGGTCATATCATATATGAGAAAGGGGAACAAGAGATGAAGAAAAAGAAAAAAGAGTGGGTGAAACTTAATATTAGGCCAATCAAAATCAATTAAAAGGGTTGAACACCCATAATGACAAAGAATTAGTTAACAGGACCCCTAGCATAATTGTACAATTGAATTATTGCTCTTCGGTATCAATCAACTTCAAATAAGCACGTGTCGCCACAAATGGATATATTACCTCCCTTCCCTCCATGCAATTATATTATACAAATTGCCGGTGGTAAGGGTTAGTCGCCCCTAGAAATAATAGTTTCTTCTAAAGACATGATAAACCTAAAGAAATGAAAGTTAATTAGTCGACTTTAATTAGCATGCTAATTATGTAACGAATGTCGATATGGGAAATGGGCAAGAAAGAAAGGAAAAAAAAGAAAAAAAAAATCATGACTAAGCAGAAACTTTTGACTTGTACTTAGTCATCCTTGAGTTGATTCGAATGGAAGACCAAATTATGTACAAAAATGGTCATTAGCTACAGCTACCAAGTTATTCTTTTTTTCCCAAATATATGAGGTGTGGTTTCTTACTTCTTTCCACAATTTCGAGCAAAGAGCTCATCTCTTTATAACTGAATTGTTGGGGTACCGTAATCAGTCAAGATTCTAGAAGTTCATTAATTGGATACCATTGGCAAAACTTCTTTGCTTTTGCTTGCTAGCATCATTCCTCTTTTGCCATAAATAAAGTCCATTTATTGTAACTGCAAACTTTACTAAAATACTTTTTCTTTCCACCAAGTCTATTAAAGAAAAAAACGAAAGAAAGAAAGAACCTTTTCTTTTTAACAAGTCTTTAATTAATTCATTGATAAAGGGGTTACTTAAAACTCATAACCCTCCATAGGTACACAAAAGTTCGTCCTGTATTCCCCCTCCCTGCACAAAAAGAAAGAGTCATAAATGTGTTTATTTGTTTTCAAATTTTATAAAGAAGTTAATGAAGTTTAAGCTTTGAGTATTTATTTTATTGATTGATATTTTTATTTAAAAATAAGATTTGAATTTTTTTATTTAAAAAAAATTAACGAAGTTTAATTAAACGGGTGAATGTAGTGGAAAGTGGGGGTGCTTGCCTATACGTCTAGAAGTCGGCATATTCCAAATAGTAGCAAACAGGCACTCATTAAGTACTCTTCACTCTTTGAGTCTGTGTCTCTTTCCAAGTGGATGCATGTTTGATTGTTGGCTTTTTATTTTGAAATTGGCTTAATAAATCTTACTATAAAATTCAAACAAACCATTCCTCCTTGTCTGAATAAGAGGGTTTCAAATTCAATTCTTTAAATAGAAAAGCATATGATTTTTTTTTTTTTGGAAAAACATGATTGAAATTTTCAGTAGAAAATAATAGATACAAAATCTACTCTTTTAAGCAATAGAAATGCATAATCAAACCAGAAAATGAAGAAACTAAGTAAAAATGTCCTTTAAGATCAAAACAGGTACCCTGACGTATTCAACAAGCCAACGAAATAAACAAACTTATCCGTGAACATCCCATAATAATATATGACATCTATTGAAACAAATGTCAGAGTAACTTTTTTTCATATATATATAAAGGGTATACTAAATAATCAATTACATCATTCTAAGTCATAAAATGTTTAGCGTGCTTGTCCAAAGATAAGAACTAATATAAGATTGCGGAAAATCAAAGATATGTAAATTCAACTGTAAGTTCTCGTAATGTATAATTATTAAATCAACACATTGATTGACTTTACGATAAACGTGAGTTAGAAAACAGTTTTAGTCTTTTTGAAGTAAGTTCCTAACACATCCAAGGAGATGAAAATAAAAATTTTCAAATGATATAAAGAGAATTTTCAAATTGTATTTTATATATATACACATCATTTTGTATCACTTGGATAATGCTACCTAGACTATAATCTCAATCAATCTTCCAAAGAATTCATTTATGTGTACACGGTACCTAAATTTTATATTGACTTTGGCTAACATTACAATATATAAATATAATAGATTGACTAAAAATATATCAATGTGCATACGCATGACAATTGTATTCCAATAATTATAACAGCTATTATGAAAAAGGATAGTTGAACTTTTTTTATTCATCAGCAATCAATGTGATTCAACTTCTCAAGTCTTTTATATATATATATATATATATATATATATATATATATATATATTCCATAAAACACATTGATTGACAAGTTCAAAAACAAAAAAATAGTTGAAACGTGGTAGGAAGTAGTCTATTTTTTTTTTATTTTAAGCATTGCTAAGTGGAATCTATTGTTTTTCTTTCAAGTTAATATTCACTACAAGAAATCCTACCTTAGGCAACGTTAAATGAGGAGGCTGAAAATGTCTATCGTCATGGCCATAACCTAAGACCGCAACTTAAAACTAGCAGCTTCACCCCTCCCTCAAAGTAGCGACCAATCTTGTGATCTTAGGTTTAGACCAGTCCGACTTTGAATTCGCAGCCAAAAGTGAAACACTTAAAGCCACGGTTGATTAAGTCATTTGAAGGGAAGTATGTTTAAAAAAAAAAAAAAGAGAATGTAATTGAAAAGTCACTAAAATTTTATGATGTATAATTAAATTTTCAAAAAATTAAATGAAGCTTCTCTCATTTTCTTGACAACCAAATAAATGATTTCCTGTTTCAACAATTTTAGATCCTATGAAAATTGCGCTTCAATAAAACTCTTTTTCTTAAAAAATATATATATATAATTAAAAAATCAAATATTAGATGATAAATAATTATATAAAAAAAATGAGGACAAATAAGAGATTAGGATTAGAGAAATAAAGGGTGTCGTTTTTCATAAGCTTTGAAGAAAAATGGTTGCCAAAAACTTAAAAATTCTTGTAGTGATTGTGCACAAAACTTTCCGAGTTCTAACCATGCTACCACAAAATGTGCATTGTTTGGAGTAAGGTGCTTCCAAACTATGATTAATAATTAATTTAGGTAAGACTAAATTACTAGAGAAACTGTATATCATTATTGGAGGAAATTGGATTATAAAACAATACCTTATTATGGTACTGAATTTCTACGATCTAATTGCTTGTAGATTGGGAATAAGGAAAGAAAAAGTGGTATTTCTCATTTGGCGTATACTGAAAGTTGGTGTAAAATGCCTGGTCTTGAAGCTATGTTTTCCTACTGGCCAGAAAATAGACCATTCACTCACCTATTAGGAAATTGGGTAGAAAGAGTTCATTAAATATTTCTTCTTTGATAGAGATGGAACTATTTTCTTTGAAAAAAGAAATTCTGGCATGCTATTTGATTTCAAAAATACTTATGTATACACACACACATATATATATATATATATATATATATTTAATTCTCTCACTTTTGTTGATAATTACCTTACCTGTGTTTATTGAACCTGAATTTAAGTTCCCTATTGATTTTAAAACATGAAATATTGTAAGGTTAATGAATAAACCGTATTCAGCTCTTCAACCAATATAAGTGAGGAATCAATACTAATTTTAACTCTATTCGATTCTCCTTTCTCCCATCCATGCCATGGATTAACCTCAAAATTTCCAAAACAATTTTCAAGTACTTGAATTTCCAGCTGCTAATTGCTACTACCATTTAGCTAGTTTTCGTTCGAGAATCTTATAGCATTTGAATCAGGATATTAGCTTCCCCTCCTTAGACCTTTATGCTATATTTGGTTTTCTTTTTTTAAAACATAAAGATTAATAACACATAAATCATAATTAAATTTCTAATTTTGTCTTCAAAATAAAAGAAAAATTACCACACTGTATATATATACACCACCTCTTCCAGTTTTAAAATGTTGTTGTCAACGTAGAGATATCATGTAATCAACACCATATTTTTATATACAAAAATCTCAGCTTAATTAGTCAATAAGTGGAAAAGTTTGGTCAATGGTAGAAAGATGCCCCCTTGATTGTGAGAACCACAGCTGGAAGGTCCCTCTCTTTTGATTTATATATAAAAAAATATACAAATATTGAGAATGATCAGATCTCCAGCTTTACACAATCACAAGGCCTAGATGTGAAGGATATCTTTCAAGTCAATGATAAACTAAACAAATTTAAAAGAGTAACCTCC